TGAAAATGATCTACAGACTTGACTTGAAATATATACTACATCACGGGCGACGAGTGGGGGATGAAGAAAAGACCGAAGTACGAGTGGTCAGCGGGGAAACAAATTTAATACCTCATATAGAGACATTTCAGTTATAGTTGCGGAAAACAATAGTGTTTTAAAGCCGAAATATCAACAGTATACTTCGCTAAATAAAATGTTAAGCAATTTTTCAAAAGTGTTGATGGCACATATATCTTTTACTGCTGTAATAAACAATAGAGGCATCGGAAACGGCATCGGTGGCATCCGGAAAGGCACCAAGAAGAATTATATTTACGTTTTGTAACTTGCTGCGTGACGAAAAAAGAAAACAAAAACCGTGGTCCCCAAATGAATTCTCCCACCTTGCGCCAAAACATTTTCAAATTTTCCGCAGCTTCACCTGTTCCTATTGGTAGGTCCGGCCAAGCCTTTATGGTCATTGGCTCCCGTATCGCCACTAACTATGGCCTATAAATACAGGTGTTTAGTGTTAAATTGTAAAACTCCCCGAAGAAGTTTACGACAGTTAAACGAAACGCGTCAGGGAATAAAGAAATTTTACAGCTACCGTTCGTAGTTCCGTCCGTTCGTTTAAAAGAATTTTTTTTAAAATTTGGTACGATAGCTGTGGTCAGTTTTTCCATGCAGCTTGTCTGGATGTACCTTTCGCAGAGACGTGGGGGGGACAGAGACACCAACACAACATTTCACCTGCCGTTCGCTTCGAAAATTAAGTTTTCATCCCGAGTTCATTTGTTAAATAAAATAGGAAAAAAACACTTCGAACGGAAAACAGAATTATTTGAACGCCTGGATCTTCTGAAAAAAGGTCTCCTAAACGAGTGGCCCTGATTATATTTAAGCATTGTAAACACGTTAGCCTTAACTTGGCTGTTTCTCGAAGCTCCGTGTTTTCTTACATGCCTTTTTCACGTGAAATGAGGCGATTGAATATATATAATAAACACTAAAAGAACTACAGCTGATGGAAATTTAAAATTTCTTATCTAAAGGCTGTGGAAACAAACTTATTAATAACTCTAAACATATAGAAATCTAGAACGAATTTTTTTTAGAGTTGCTCAGCTTTTCATTTTTCCGGAATCGAAAGTCGAGATTGCAAAATTCAAGTGAAAAGCAAACCGACTGTGATTTACGCCTTAAACAAGTCAAGATACTTTATTCCGTCATACAACAAGTTACATATCGTAAATATCATTCTTCTTGATGCCTTTCCCGGTGTCACCGATGCCTTTCCCGATGCCTCCATTGGTTAATATAATAGTAAAAATATTGTTCCAGTCAAAGCGTTTGGAAAATTGTTTAACTTTTGAATTAGCGAAGTATAACCTGGTAACATTTTGGCTTTACAATACGATTGTTTTTTTGTAAGTTACAAAACGTAAATATAATTCTTCTTGGTGCCTTTCCCGATACCTCCATTGTTTAATACAGCGGTAAAAGATATATGTGCCATCAACACTTTTGAAAAATTGCTTCACATTTTATTTAGCGAAGTATACTGTTAACATTTCGACTTTACAACACTATTGTTTTCTGCAAATACAGCTGATATGTCTCTATATGAAGTATTAAATTTGTTTCCCCGCTGACCTCTCGTATTTCGGTCATTTCTTCATCCCCCGCTCGTCGCCCGTGATGTAGTAACTCCCACTTACAGTCGAACCTGTTTTGAGTGGTCACGCAAGGGTAAAGGTCTTAAAAAGTAAAGACAGGAAATGGAAGAATAACGTCATCCGATGACAAAACCGTCAGTCTGTCAAAGACATTCTGTCTGTACTTCCTATGAAGGAAGGGAGATTGGTGGGACTCGAAGAAGGTGAAACTCACGAAAGAGAGAGCTTCCTCCTTTGAAATATTTTGCATTGAAGTGCTCGTTGGAAGTGTATTAATTCTGTAGCTAACATCATTTGAAGCCCCCGCATGAACTTCTTCCTTCCGCCTGATTTGCTAGAAGGCTCTCAATTGCGCTGCGACACAAGCGGCGAGGCTCACGTGTTTCGAGCCGGCGAGAGATGCTAGCGCGCGGGAGGTCTGCGAGGGGTCTCCTCTCGCTGCCTCTGCTGCGACACTAATGAGAAACTGAACGCTGGGTTTCTTCCTTCCAAACTTCTCCTCCGTAATAACTTCTTCCAGCAGCGCTGTATGATCATAGCAGGTTTCCTAAGACACCAATATGTGATGAGACAGTTTGGCCCCTCGCTCAACGGAACGACTTTTTCTGTCGTCAAATTGTATCTCCTTGAATACGAAAACAGAGAGTTGGTGATTCACTCAGATGGTTTTTTTCCTTACCTTAAACTGATCTCGCTATTGACCAGAAAATGCCGAGATAAATCTTACTCAATATGACCTCTGGTGTAACTTTTTTACTGCATTTTGATGACGGTGAGCAATTTTTTCCCAACACAGCACGCGACAGGCTGCTAAGGAACCGAGTTCGCGCGAGCAAAAATGCCGCAAAAAAATAAAGCTCATGTGAACTGAATAACGGTTACCTTATTCGATATCTATGACATTTAAGTGAAAAAGAAAGCGGAGGTACATCACCTCCGTTCGAGTGTTTATCGTAAAGGAAACCCTTGTTGTCTCCCTAGAAAATATGAACCTTAAGAAAATGACGATGCTGTTTCTTTGATAATATTGCAAACTACTTAATTTTATACTCAACTTAATTACTATAAATATTTCAACGACGTGTCAATTACAATTCAGCTGTAGTGGATTCAGCTGGGATGACAATACTGCAATATCCCTGCAGTGAACCACCTCGGGTAACATTTGCCCACGGAAGGCGAAGTTGAATGAAAACTTACAAGACACTGGGTTAGGTAAGCAGCATACATATTTTAAAAGCTGATATATTCCCATCTTTGTAAATCTTTCTCGTCTTCCTTACTATTCCCTCTTGATGCAGTCTTAAACGTATGGTCGATGTGGAATGCACAGCCCAGCAGTTTAAAATGGCTTATTATGATACTACAAAATAATTTTCCATTTCAAAAAATCTAAGTGTATCTATGGCTGTCAAGGAAGCCACTTCAACACCTTTATGTAGCTTCTTAACAGTTTTAAAAAAGAAGCTCGCTTATCTTAGTTGTGTTTACCAGAAAGAAAAACTTCCTAAAAGTGGTATTGTGACTGTTCAGGTAGAAACAGGTAATTTAGTGTTAACAACTGAGTTGAAAACGTAAATTGACCACCGTAAAGAGTTAAAAGGCTGACGTTTGGAGCGTTAGCCTTTCGTCAGAGCGATTGACAAAGGGCTAACGCTCGAAACGTCAGCCTTTTAACTCTTTACGGTGGTCAATTTACGTTTTCAACTCAGTTGTTAACACTAAATTACCTGTTATGCTCTCCCACCGACGCAGCACAACAGTTTTTTTAGATACTCACCCCCTTTGTTCAGATAGAATACGTGCTTGGAGTAGGATGCAAGCTTATGGTCTCAAAGATAAGTTTGAACTTATTTCACAGATGAGATTGATTCAAAAGTATGCAAATGTGTATTGTTTATTCACCATAGTACATCGTGTGTTTCATATCTTTGTAACGTGGCTCGACCCAAAGGTGAGATATACTTAAAAGTAACCGAGTCTACAAATACCAGGTAGGCCTACAAACATTTTGTAGATCTAGAAGGTAATGAAATGATCAGAAATTTTCATTTTCTACTCAAACAAATGAAATGTTTGGTCTGACTGTTAAAAGACGCTTTAATTTCACAGCAAAAGTAATAGATATATTGAGAGGTTCTAAAAATAATTTTTTGTGATATTGGTCAAAATTTTTTTGCATTCTTTATAGGTATTCAGTCACTCTCGCGTGATATTTTTGGACAAGACAAGAGATAAAGTAGGCTGAAACACTTAATTTTCATTTCTTTCGGGGCATCTGAGTTCTCTTTCGAAAGTGGGAACATCACAGTTTTAATGGGACAAAATGCGATTAAATTTTCAGTGTAACCAATCAGTTCTAAAGATGATGTAGTTAACAAGGATATTCGAAGATCACTTTCACATTCAAGGATATTCGTATCCACCGATCTGAGGAATTTTCTGTCTAAAATAACATCCTTCTGCCACTATTTTCGTTAAAATCAGAATCTGCATTGCGGCGTCAACAAAATCTGGATCGAACCGGATCGGATCACGAATCACGGATCAAATGCTAAACCGCGTACAATCCGCAAACCGGAATGAGCAGCAAAACCGAAAAACCGAAGTTTTTTGGCAGAAAACCGATCTAAAAACAGCCAAAACTGCAAAACCGAAAATCCCAATGACTCCTTCCTGCTTGCCTTCATCCATGGCGGCACTGCACAACACTCCTCGATACAGCCGTGAAAGTGATTACATGGAGCCTTTTGGGCAAAAAAAACTTTCAAATGGGCCTACGCTCAATTATGTCAAGCAGACTTTATTTTGGCTTGTCACGTAAATTTTTTGACTCCGATCCAGGATCCGTGATCCGATCCGTGATCCATGATCCGGTGCGGTCCGATCCAGATTTTATCGACGCCGTCCGCAACAACTGTAACTGTAACTGTAACAAAGTTATAGTCGATCAAAATGATAAAATCACTGTAACTGACTAAAATGACTAATTGAATATTGGCCGTAAAATTCCTCGCTATCTCGTCAAACATTTGAGAATAATGCTCAAACTTGGTGGAAAGATGTGGATTCAAGTTAATAATTTGGCAGATAAGTTAATATGCAGTCTGCTGATGAAGTAATTTTCGTCGATGTGTGAACCTAGCACCTTCTGCTATGGTCCTCCTAAAATAGAATCAAGGTTTTCAGTGCATTAGTTAAATAGAAACAGATGAAGAACAAAGGAAACAAGATCTAGCTGTAAGATATCTGGTATAGGTACTGAAACGTTATTTCACTCTCCTTTTCCCCTCAGTATTTGGAGCCAAAACTTCAGTTGAAGATCGACACGCATTCGCCATGGGTTACGTGAAACAAAGAACGTCGCACCGAATGTATCTATTGGTTTTTATTTTAGCATTTGTATTTTCTCTATTTTCGGTTGTTTACGTTCATTACTATACTTTGGTTGTGCCGCTGAAACAAGGAAGTCCATCATTTGTCATCAAACAAGATGTAGATGCCTCGCGCAGCTACACAAGTGCAGCCAGCAGTGCAAGTATCATGCATTCCATAGCAAACAAGAAGGAAAGTTTTCAGCGCAACACAGATGATCTATCATATTCAGGGAAATCCATTCCTCTGATGGACTTCAAGGACTTACAAAAGAGAAAAAAACGATTGCTTTTATTGGTTACTGTTGGCAGTGCACCACAAAGATTCGACAGGAGGCAGGCAATAAGAGATACATGGTGGAAATTTTGTTACGAGAAAAAGGTGAGACACGGTTAATTCACATACCATAAATAATCGATCAAACGCCGCCCTTAAATGAGCGCTTCACTTTAGAGGAAAAATGTAAAGGTTATGTCCCACCTTCAGAGGTTTAAAAAATCGATTTTTCTTTTATTTGACGAAACTGAATTCAAACATTTAATTTAATGTATCCATAAAATAGAAATTATTGAAATCTTTTAAAGCACTTGAGTTATTTAAAAAAACGTATTTTCAACTAGAAGTTATTAAATTAGGAAGGTATCATAATCTCGAACCTAGGCGAATCCCCTGGGGGAATTTTCGCCGCAACCTCTCATGCTGGGGTTCGTTTTCCGTGTTATTTCTATATTTTGTTTACATCGCGCACTTGACAAAATTCACATGTGGAAGCTCCTTGTTTATGAAAAAATCTTTGCTCATGGAAAAATAAAAAGCGGAAGAAAGTCCTCGGTAAAAAAAAGAAGAAAAATAAAAGAAGGCCCAGAGAGGAAGGAAAGAGTACCACTCTGTCAAGTAAGGAAAACATTCCTTTGTATTCCGTTGTGAAAGTGACTGGTACTGGCGGAGCGGGCATAGGGTAAAATATGGACTGGACTATTTTTTGGACCATTTTTTGGACCATTTTTTTTTACTATTTTTTTTGGACAATTTTGAAGGGGGGAGCACACCATTAGTACTGAGGGAGGGTAGGATGAAGTCTATCAGTACTAAGGGAGGGGTGGGAGGTGGAGTGTTATTACTTAGGGAGGGGTGTGAGACGGACTATTACTACGCAGGGAGGGATGGGAGGTGGTTGTAATAGGAAACACTGCTAGCTAATGGAGCTTTTACTCGATTGTACAAACAATTTTAATTGGTTTTTCGACTGAGTTTTTGTATGTCAAAATTTTAGCGCTGGGCCGCGGCGTTTCTTAATATTTTGTCATGCGAAAGCGAAACTGCCACGTAAACACTGGACTTTAATTTGTATTGAAAATATCGCGTTTACGATCCTCCACTGTTGAATGATGCGTGCGCCTTTTAAGTCAACTTGTGCACCATCAGTTGCTTCAAATTTCCCTTTGTGTATACAGTATGAAATTACTAACTTAAACTATCTTCCTTTTGTCATTGATCTTATCAAACGAGATCACGGAATTTCCGGTCTTTAGCCCTTGACTCAGCAGCATTTAGAATTCACAAGCGCTATCGCAATTTTGAAGTTTATACCTTTACTATATAAAATCATGAGCGAACGATTTCGAAGAGGAATCCATGTTCTCGAATGGACCAAAAACACTGCTGTACTCTCAAAATGGGAAAGCGCAAATATCGATTTCATCTGTTTGGCAAACAAAGGAGATAATCACCGACACCGGAAATCGCGACCAGGTATTCCTCGCGACTCCCCTAGGTTTGTTTTCCAATTTGCCCAAGCCGCTGTCGATCAGTTCTTGCGTTAAAACCTATGAAACCTGCGAAGTGGAACTATGTTGGCTACTGTTGCTTGCCGGTAATTTCCGTCGGCAAAACGTAGAAGTCCAGTGTTTCGTGGCAGTTTCGCTTTCGCATGACAAAAAAATGAAGAAACGCCGCGGCCAAGCGCTAAAATTTTAACTTACAAAAACTCAGTAGAAAAACCAATTAAAATTGTTTGTGCGATCGAGTTAAAGCTCCATTAACCAGTAGTGTTTACCATTACAACCACCTCTCACCCTTCCCTGCGTAGTAATTGTCCGTCTCACACCCCTCCCTGAGTAATAACACTCCACCTCCTACCCCTCCCTTAGTACTGATAGACTTCATCCTACCCCTCCCTCAGTACTAATGGTGTGCTCCCCCTTTCAAAATGGTCCAAAAAAAATAGTCCAAAAAATGGTCCAAAAAATGGTCCAGTCCATATAGCTCCACGCTGGCGTCCAGATTTCGAACAAAGAAGTCGCTGTCATACCAAAATTTGCCATACACAATGTTAAAAACGAGGTTTTATTTTCTTTATGCAAGTACCAGCCTTGATACAAAAACATTAACAATCGCCTCGAATCGTAATTTTGAAAGCTGCCTATCGATTTGTTGTCTTGCACCTCAGCACATTTTCCGTTTTTTTCATTTATGCCGCGGATTTTCTCCTTTGTCTTTGGCAACTTTGCTCATTGTTAAGTCGTCTTCTTCAACGCTCTACCGAGCGATCGAGATAAAAAAAACGTGTCTGCGAATGGTTACTTTTCGCGGGAAATCATGATCCATCGTCATTAGCGCCAGGAGGTTCCGTTGTCCCATTGGTTTGCGGTTTCAGGAGGTGAGGTAATCTTCTGGTGTGGCGCGAGTTGTTTGCGAACATTCAAGGAATAATGACAAACGAAAGTGTGTCAGGGAATTTTGATATTTGAAATTGTTGATTGATACCTTGTGAATAAGACTGTGCAGCCATTTTGCTCGTGCTGCGGCATCTGATACCCGATAAAGTCAATATTATATTATATTTTTATCGTAAACTACAGTCATTGAGCTTTCTTCTGATGTGTAGTTTGTTAGGATTTTAATGAAAGTAGCGCGCGTACGAATTTTTTCTCGGACACCCGCGAAGGTGGGAAGTAACCTTAATAAACGCCGCCCTCGAATAAACGCCGCATCATCATGCGGCGTTTATTCGAATGATAGACTCAAAAAGCACACAGCGACAATTGCTTCGATCGCAGTTGGAAATTTTGAGTAAACCAGACGAGTTCTCTTGAATGAACCAATTCTGATGTCGAGAAAGCAATCCGGCATACGATCTTTATTCACTTTATATATTGCAATAGTATTAACATGCAAATGATGAAATTGAGAGCAATATGAAAAATGACTTTTTAGACAAACACAAAAACATTTTTTTTTTTCAAAAGTAAAATGGTCAGTTACCATACTACTGTTTGGATTTTAAATAAACGCAGCCCCTCGAGTAAACGCCGCATTCGAATCACGAAAAATTTAATAAACGCCGTGGCGTTTAATCGAATAAATACAGTTTTAAAATTTGGAAATGTTTCCAAAGACGATAGACTCTGACAATGGACAGCAGTGTGTGTCCATCTGGTCCCATTGCCTCTTGCAGCCAAGGAGGCCTGGTCACTTAGAAACCTATATATGGCACCATACATGGCAGTCGCTTTCACGCTTCCTTCGTTCCATTTCCATGTCCGCCTACCTCGTTAGCTAGTGTACGTACCATGCTTCAATGTTTCTATGTAGCTTTAAGGTTTATTTTCTCGGTAGAACCCTTCCAGTTAATCATGTAAAACTAGACTAGAACGGTATTCCTTAAATGAGAACACGCCATGAGTACAGTAAAACCCCTTCACTTGATTCCGGTTACCTCGAACCCCCCGCACACTCTTTAATCGCGTTTGATACGAAGGCGATAACATTTATGGAAACGTAATACATTTCGCTTAAATTCCTAAGCTAAACATAGCTCCGACATAACAAAGTAAATGTTCTAAAATGACTGTTGATTGTACAAGAATGGTAAAAACAGAATTCACACCAACCCCAATAACTCGAATTTCCGCTAACTCGAACCACTTTTCGTTTCTTCTGTGGATTCGAGTTGGTGTGGTTCTACTCTACAATTAATTTGAGAGTGGAGACTCTGTCGCCTAATGTTGGCTGATCATTTCTCTTCAACAGGTCAAATGCGTCTTCTTTACAGACGGCATCATTAAGAACCAAACTCTCCTTACCCTTCTACTCCAGGAAAAAAACCGCTACAAAGATTTAGAGCTTCAACCGCTTCCATCTGGTGTTCAATTCGGGCAACGCTTTCTAAATTCCATCAAATGGGCCACGGCCAAATTTGACTTTAAATATTTTCTCAAACTGGATGACGACTATTATGTTTGTCTAAAAAGACTCCTATTTGAACTTCCCTCGCGACCGAAGCGCAATCTTGTATGGGGAAGTTTTCATTGTGAGTTTGGAATTTCTTGGGCAGACGAAGCATTCGTAATATTCTCTGCTGACATGATCCGCAAATTCTTGATGCAAGATAAGAAAAAGATGCTCTGTCACCCATTTGCTGACCAACAGTTTAGTATTTGGATGAAACATATGACTAAGCTTTATTTTCATGACACAAGGCTTCACCATGACCCACCAGCTTCCTTTACGCCTGAATTTAAAGAAATGAAAAACCTATGTGACTCGTATATTGGAATACATGGTACATACGTAGAAGAGATGAGGAATTTTGCGAAGGTTGCAAATGATGGCGCAAAAGAAGTAGAACCTGTCCCTAAATTTTCAAGATTCTGCCCATTCAAAAACTTTGATTATCGAAAGTTTTCACCTAAGTATTATTTTCGTCCTAAACCTTGTATACAGAATCCCACTTGGAAGAATTCTACATTTACTGGTCGTGAAGACGAACACATACTGCGTCAGGATGATCTATAAGACGAAGAGCATCGACTACCGGGGTTTTATTTCTAAACGCCAGAGTTCCAAGTCTCAAGCACAGTTGATGAATATGTGATAATCTCAAAAAAAGGTTTAATTTATGAATTGCAAACCAGTTCTCAAGAATAGTTTAAAACGCTTATTCACAAGATAGTGTTAATAGCTTAAAAGAAGAGAAGGCCTTGATAGACCTATTTACCTAATAAATGTTATTTTGATAGATTGATTAATTTATATTTATTTTTTCCAATTTAAGAACCATTGTAGAATATAAGCTGGGCTAGTTACTTCAAAATTTTAAACTACCGTGTAAACAAAAATTTCTGTTCCCGTGCGCTGCGAAAAATATTCGCAGAGTAATTAATAGAATAGCCACTGTTTGTAACTAAAATGCGTTCGCTTATTTTTCCTTACACATAATCTCTTCCCTTAGATTCGCTTTTGCAGAGATGCGTATTTGCGCGAGGAAAGTTGGGGCGAGGGGTGAGGGGGTACTTGGATTATTTTGTGCCCGTGCCGCTAGCCTCTCTCAACATTGTTGTTGTGATCCCAACTTAGTCACTCTCTTGAGCCTTTAAGGTAATTCATCTTAAAACAAACTGACGCATTTATTAAACTGAACACTTACTTTTTCATCTACAGTACAGAAATTTAGGTACATTTGAATCTTCCTAATTTTTAAATCCGTACTCACCCCTTACCCCTAAAGTCCTGAAAATGTGCAACCCTGTTGTAGTAACTCTAAGAAAATACAGTCTCATTATAGTCCATCCAGTCGCCAAAATGCGACCCCACCCAGTGGCACATTCCTATTAACCTATTGCTAGAAGTTACCCAATCCCCCCCCCCCCCACGACGTAATTGTTCTTCTCGGAGCAGATAATGTCTGCGTATAAATAGTCCAAACAATCATCACAAACAGCTTACCACCAAAAAATTTTAAAACGGGAGGGGTTGATTTCTGGAAAATTGTAGACGAAAATATCAACAGTTTAATAAGGATCTGGAGAAGATCTGATGAACCAAAGATAGAATAAAGATAAAGTAATAAAAACAACGAATTTGTACTTGCCATTTGTACTTCGTCACGAACTGTATCTAACTTAACACGACAACTGAGTGATTAGTCTGAACTGAAAGTCAGAAATGCAACTGTGGACCGCTTAACCCTTCAACTCTCAAGATCTGATTGTTAATTCTCCCCTCCAGCTGCTACACATTTCCTTGTAAATTAGCTACGAGAATTTGATGTTAGATCGAGGTAACAACTTCTGCCTGATAAGTATGAGTATTCGCATTTCCTGTTTGCTGAATAATGAAGGGATATTACAGGGAGAAGTTACATGTTGATTATTTCTGGGATTAAAAGTGTAAACTACATAACATCACAGAAAAATATAATACAGCGAGTTTGGTTAGACATCAATACAACCCCTTCCTGACTCCTCTGATTAACACTGAATGGAAATTTCTAGGAGAAGCTGAATATCAAAAAGTTGTATTAAAACAACATGCAAGCAACAGATCTCGAGATCGGCAAGAAGTAATGCAAACGCGTGTTTTTCTACCCTCAATAATAATTCGCGTAATTTTTAGGAAATAGGCAATAATACTTTTTAAGGAGGATGCCAAAAATTTCCTTGCAAAGTATCCTTGTATTCTGTACGCTGCTCTGATACTTTTCCTTCTTCCAGCTTACTTGTCAGAGACATTATTCACATCTTCTTGCAAAACTTTATTCTTCATGCGCCTGACCCCAGGCTCCTCTCAAATTTGTGCGCCTGCCACTATTTTAGATTTTACCCTTTCACCCACGTGAAACAGTTGGGTCGCAATTCGTCGTATTTTGTAATTTTCTTTGTTGTAAAATGCCTAAGAAAAAGACAGGGGCTCGAAAGAAAGCCGAAAAACAAAAAGAACGCCAGCGAGGAATAAGAGAAGGTCGTGATAGACCTATTACGGAATATTTTTGCAATGTGATAATGGTGGGTTTATGCCCTTCATGTTGAGGTCTGAAATTGTTTTACTATTGGGATACTAATTATTTGTTGTTATATTTTCATTTATTAACGAATCAACAGGAATGTGATAAGTGCAAAAGGTAAGGGTGATAGCTCTCAATTCGCTCAGAATATTATGTAAAGAAACATGCTTGTTATTGTGAAGAAATAATTGTAACGATAAACTGTTTAATACTGATTTCCTTTCATAGGCGCATGGATAAAAACTATAAAATCTCTTTCTTTCCTTTTTTTATAGACGACAGAAAAATCGAGCTTTTTGTTATTTTTGCTCATCAGTTCAGAAGTTACCTATCTGTGGAAACTGTGGTAAATTTAGCTTTGTACTGTAACAATTGATATTATTTTGAGGAGAGTATTTATGCTGTCCTGAGGAGAAACAAGGAAACTGAAGTTTATTTTATTCTTCTGTGTTGTAGGAAAGACAAAATGTATGTCTAAGAGTGGAGACTGTGTTGTTAAACATGGAACAACTTTTACAACTGGCTTTGGGATGGTGGTAAGTGTTTTTTTATTTTTGCTGAAGAATTTTCAGCTTAAATACCAGCCCTTTTAACCCTTTGACCCCCAAGATCTCATTGTTAATTCTCATTACTGGCTGCCATATAAGTCTTATGACATTACTTTGGAGAATTTGGTATTGGATCAACCCTATTGATACTTTTCTCTATTCTCATCACTTATCTGTTTGATATTGTATTAATATTGTTGTAGTCACTCATGAGAGTTAAAGAGTTAAAAACACTAAAATTTGTGTACTTTTAATTTTTTAATTACAAATTGCAGCATGTAATTTTTGTGAGATATATTTTAAGGAATTTAAAGGTCAGCTGCAGTATCATAATTTATCACAATATGTCTTTCCTCTGTTTGTAGGGAGCTATTTGTGATTTCTGTGAGGCTTTTATCTGCCACGGCAAAAAATGTTTAACCACTCATGCTTGTGAATGTGCCATTAGAGATGGTGAATGTATTGAGTGCGAACGAGGTGTCTGGGATCATGGTATGTGTTACATTGCAAAGAGTCAATAATCATGACTTCTTACCAACCAAGCCTTAGTACCTTAGTACTCTACTGGCAAATGATGGCCTGTGGTTGTGGCAGTACAGGGCAGTATGGATCCAGCACAGTGAGGTCCATACAAAAAATGATGAAGTTTAAACAGCATTTCATTTATCTCAAATATTAGAGGGAAAACTTTAAATCTGTCTTCTTGTGTGCAAGGTTTCTGGGAAATCTTGAGGCCTGAAAGAAAAAATTTATGGGTCATGTTAAGTGTCTCATGTTAACTTTGATGTTTATATTTATTTGAAATATTTGTTTCTCTCTTGTAAAGGGCTCAGAGGCTTGCAATAAGCACTATTTAAATTGTAAATTCATTGTTTTACTTATTTTATCGCGGGTCATTGCTCTTCTTGGTTCTCTGTATCTGGAATAGTACCTAATCTTCAATTGCTCTTTTTCTTTTCTAGGTGGACGTGTTTTTGTGTGTTCTTACTGTGCATCATATTTGTGTGAAGATGACCAATTTGAGCATCAAGCCAAATGCCAAGTACTTGAGTCTGAGACATTAAAATGTAAGTTTTTAGATGAGTTGGCAAAATACAAGGATTTGTTTGGGAATAAACAGTTTCACTCTCAACTTAAAACATATGATCTTGTTTTGAATAAAAACAAGCTTACCTAGCTTAATTTTGTATTGTGTGAATTTTCTGGGCTGATTTAGTGTAGTTTTATTTTATCTGCCTTTCCCTCTGTACAATCCTTTTGTTTGGTTGGTATTATACAGAGTCCTGTCATGGGAAAGGATTATAAAGAGGGAAAAAAAGATGAACTAATTTAGACCAAAATTGTCCTAAATCAGCCCAGAAAATATACATGATACAAAAAGCCAGGTAGGTTTGTTTTTATTCAAAACTCGTTGTGAAGTTTTAGGTTGGGAGTGTGCTATTAATTCCTCTAAAAATAAATTGTTATATTTTTGCCCATTGCACAACATAAACATTTAGTATTTGTACATTTAAGGAGGCTCACTGATTTTTTTAACTCTGGGCTTCCTGTGGCATACCTGGTATATAAAGGGTTGGTAGCAAGAGAAATCAGTTGGAGTATGAAGTAGAATCCAGGTAATCTGGCTTTGTGTTTCATTTCACATACACCAGGTGGTTCCTGTAACAGATTAGGTCAATACTCATGCCTCAAGTGCAAGGTAAATTTTCTTTATTTTTCTATTGAAAACATGACATTTTACTTTTTCAGTGGAAAAATTTTGATCATTATTTTCCTCATAGAGTACATCTAGCTGCCATACAGGCTTTTTTTCTATTAAGCTGTCGATAATAAATTACTTGTTAAACAGTGTGTTAAACAAAGCTCATTCAATCTTTCCTTTTACTGACCTGGTTTGTAACCAAGAGCCTGCAGTCTTGTAGCTCAGTCTATGCGGCTTAGTGAGTTTGAATCCTTATATGGGACTCAAACGAATTAGCTGATGTACAAAGGACCCACTGACCCCTTCCCACTCTGAAATAGTGTTGAACACCACTTGCAATTTTTGTTGCTACTGAAAGTAACTAAACAGTGTCACAGCGTTCCGTGATCAAAACAGAAAAATCATCGATAAACAGAAATGCAAATACACTGTTGCTTCATTTTTTTTATTCACTAACCTGTGTCCCAGCGGGTTTGGAACCCCTCCCCTCCTCCGGTCCATTTCTGCCAGCGGATTTGGACCTCCCGGCCCAAAATGGACCCTGGCCTGAGTGAATGCTTTCAAATATCAAAATTCGTACAGGCATGTTACTGCGACGATCACGTCAAAAGAAAAGGAGTTAAGTACGTTAGAGGACAGCCTATACCCTGTCCAAAATGTGGATACCAGACCAAAGAGACCAAAGATCTGAGCATGTCCAGTAAGTTAACATTTCCAATTCAAAATTCTTTGGCGTTTTCATGGCGTTGTACGTTCGTTGTTTCAGATCATCTCTTTTACTTTTAATTTTAGCTCGTAACTACGCGTATTCTCGTCAACGAAATGATGTGGACAACGACGACGATGATGACTACGGGTCCAGCGGTTTCAGTTACGGGTCAAGTGGGTTCAGTTACGGGTCAGGCGGGTATGCTTACGGGACATCCCACTACGCAGATAATGAAGACGAAGATGAAGATGATAGTGATGAGGATGATGACGAGGAGGAAGAGGAGAAAGAAGAAATTGATGACGATGACGATGACGATGACAAAGAAGACAAACAGGAAAGAAGTGACATGGTGGACGACAAGTTGTCTGAATTAAAAGTTTCAGTGTCTTGACTAAACTCAAAGGTTTTCTTGGAATTGGACGACTCTTTATTATCTGCAGAAACTGGCGTTTATGCAAAGAATATTTTATTATTGCAGAAGAATAAAATAATGAATTAAATAACAGAGAAGAGTCAGTAGAATCGTACCGGTCAAAAGTTTGAAAATGAACTGACATTTGTAATGTTTGTCCTTGCACATGTGAGCATTGTAAAGACTTATAATGTTTTTGAATTAGCGCCTTGACTAGAGGAAAATTGCGCGAATTCTTTTCTCATTCGCATGTAAAATCTTTGATTACGTGAGGCCCGAAGACTGGCGCGTGATCCTCAGAACCAAAAAGGCAAAATAATCTCGCTTAAGTAAACAGCTCTACTTCCGCGCAGTGTTTCTCTCTCGAATTGCTGTTTCAGTTGCCGACAATTTAAACAGAAAGTTAATACTCAAGAGGAAGAAAATTGGAAAAGTCGATTGTTAATGAAAAATTTGACATGGTGCGATGACTTCCATTATATCATATTTTAACAGGGGCTCAACAAAGAAATGTATCTTTCTTTAATTGTTTTATTTTCGGGAAAAAAAAAATTAAATCAAAACAAAAAAAAAAACATTTCAAAAGTGCAATAACAATTTTCAAACTGGATACATGTGATTCGCAAGTTAGCCCGCGGAAAACCTGAATTAGCAATCCGTGAAGTAGCCATATTATGTTCGTTCGACATCGGATTTTTACAGTTTACAACAATTTTATGTTTTCGTTCAAAACATTTAGATCGTGAGTTCCAAAAGATAGGTAATGTGTTTGATTGGTAACACTGTATGCCTCTGCTAAGATACGTGACAAATTTTTAAATCAGTTTTTGTGTTGAAAATAAATAATCGATTTCATTCAAATAACAATGAAAAGCAAGTTTGTCGGCTGTAGTACATTTGATTGTCATTCTTAGTTTTATTTATTAACAATTTTACAAGGTTACTTTAACACATTCATTCAACATTTATCGCAGCAGAATTTTTAATGTTAACGTAAAGCGAAGAAATAAATCTAAACTGTGCCACAAACTTTCTGGATGATACTTCTCATTCCGAAAATACACCTTGTCAGTGGTCTTAAAGAGTTAAATGAATTGGTAATGTATGAAATCATTCACGGGTTCAATTTTTGTATTCTTTGTGTTGGCGTGGTCGACATCTCCTAGTTTCCTACAATGAATCTGTTTGACACTTTGACAGGCGGCGACAAAAGAAACCCAGACTGAATGACTGAAAATTGTTACGAATCTAAACAGAGGTACAGATGTCACAAAGTCAACAGTGGAAGGTCAACAGACGCATAGGTTACCAAAGATTTGATCAACGCAAATAATGAACAGAGGAAAGCTTTGATCACGTCCCTTTTCCCCTCTAATTTTGTCCTGTTTTTTCTTTTTAATTAGCGGTGTCGTATAAAAACAGGTTTATTCGTATTAACCGAGGGGATTTGTTCTCACCTGAAAGTGTTGACAGCTTTCAGCACTTGACCCGCTTTAAGACGTCACAGGGATTGCTCAATAACAGGCTTGATACAGTGTTACAAATTTATTTTGAACACGGCATGGACTGTAACAAAGCTAATTACAGCAGATACTTTCAAACTGTAACCTCCATGGATAAGAACAGTACCTCGGCCCCTGGACTCGGGTCACAAGCTCGTCTTCTTGAAGGTTTTGGTTTATCAATCGTTCTCTTGGTCTCGCTGGTGTTAAATCTCTCCGTTTGTGCGATTATCTGGCGAACAAAATCACTACGTGAGAAGGCGACTAATACATTTGTGGCAAACCTGTGCATCGCTAATTTGTTACTGACTGCCTGTGTGATTCCGTTTAGCTTGGTGACCATCGTTGAAGATGAACATGCATTTTATTCAAAACTTTTTTGCCAGGTAGGACTGTCAATATTATTGGAATCAATTTGAATTTTAACATGTTTCAATGTAATAGTTTTCACGAGGCATTGCAGTTCTGTTGCGAAACGCTTTTAATATTTAACATGGTTACCACACGAGAGATCAGTAATCAGTTAACTTAAGTTTTTTTCTTAGTGCAAATCGCTGCAAAATATATTTTTTAACTATTTGAATGCAATGTTGCCGCAAATGCTTTTATAACTCGAATATTGAATGAACTAATTTTGTGTGTGGCAACCAAGTTTTTTCTCCTCGTCCTTACGGTGTTAGTAGTAAGTGATGGGCGAGCCATTGTAAACTGGAAATTTAGCGTACCTTAGCCGACCAATTGTTGCTGAACAGGTAAAACTGTATTTTACAGTTTTCACCACACACAAACAAACAAAGATAAACAAACAAACAAAAACCGCAACTATGGTAAGACTTCGAAAAAAGTGACAGTGCGTAACACAAAGGACCATGTCTACTAGAAGCTCGTATTTGGGACCATCTTAGCTGGCAACAATACAACCTGCGTCTCTCTGCACTCTCTATCTTCTTGACTGTTTCCCAACTGAAATTCTACATCAATTATGGTCGAACAAGATTCCTTCTTTCCAAAATCAATTTTAGTTATTGTTAGTATGTTTTTTAGGGATGATGCTTGACTTGAAAATTGTACTGAATCTGCTTATATTTACGCAGCACACGAAAAGTAAAACTTCCTCAACACTTTGCTACCTAACATCAGTATGCATATTCTCCATTCATTTCCTAAGGTGCTGACAAGGAGAATTTGTTTAACAATCGAGAGTTTCTTTAGTTGGTGATACACTTCCTTTATTCTCATGACCCTTTCACTTGATTCAAGGGTGACTCTGTAAGGAGAAATTTTAAGCCAATCATTCTTGGGTGTCAGAGGGTTAAGGCAACGGTGTACACAGAAATACTGTATTTGATCAATAAAATAAATTTTCTTTGTATCTATAATTTATCTTGTAACAGATGCTTCCTCTATTTTCAGGCAAATGGTTTCATAAGTGTTGTGTCGAGTGTTGCGATTGTCATGACTCTTTGTTGTATAAGTCTTGATCGATACATTGCAGTTACCAGGCCAACACGTTACAAGATCATCGTCACGGTCAAACGTGCTTGGTATACTTTGCTAGTGGTCTGGGGACAAGGACTCTTGTACGCCACGTTTCCCATATTTGGTTGGTCCAGGTACGAGTATCATCCGGGGACTTTACACTGTTCACCAGTATGGACATCAGAGTGTTCCCTGTACATCTATCTGGCAGTTGTGGGATTTGGAATTCCAATGACTGTCATGGTGTTCACGTACATTCGTATTTTCTTCGTCATACGTAGACACGCGCGCAAGGTTTCCACTGTCAAGCGAACGCGACCAAAGGTTCAAAACAATAATTGCAAACTGATTTCTGTGAAACAAAGAGGGAGTGTACAGCCACACTCGACTCAAAATTCATCGAATGAGGACAAGTCCTCGAGTACGGCCGACAAGCTAAACTCTTCAGCTGCAAATGAGCAAATGTTATGTAGCTCTACGGCAAACCTTTCAGAGTTAGACAGCTGTGCCAAGCAATTTGAACTGAATGCGAAAACTGGCGTGGTCAGTGGTTTATATTTGCAAGAAGGCGAAAAAGTACTCTTCGCAACTGAACTGCCGTCTGTTAACACTTGTGACCATGGAGCGCAGTCAAACAGCAGCAACGAGCCTTCAGATGTCCAGCGGAGCAAACGTGGTTTAATTCACGTTACAAACACGCTCAGAAAATTCTGGCCGCGAAAACGCAGGCGCAACCAACGACCGTTATCCAGAGAATTCAAAGTAGCAAAGACTGGTGTGCTGCTGTTGTTTATTTTCATTGTCTTGTGGTTACCTTACATGGTCGTGCATATCTGTTCCTCCGGAGTAAAAGCTCCACCAACTGTGTTTCGATTGACAATGTGGCTTGTGTTCATGAACGGGGTTTTGAATCCTATAGCTTATGCGTTGGGCAATTCGACGGTGAAAATGAAGTTTCAACAGATGTTCGCCACGGTTTTTTCTCTGTGCTGCAAGTGTAGGAGGACTGTAGAACAGCGAGCGACTCCTCGCATGTCAGAAAGAGTCTGAATATTTTTCTCCACGTTCAAACATATTTGCTTGGACAAACGTTTATCGGCATCGAAGGTATAGTCACAAAGACACGTCTTGAAGAGGGGCGATGAACATCTCTCCACCGCCAATATTTCCTCTCACGCTTTCTCTACCCTCCTGTCCCAGCTTATCTTTCCCCTTCTTATCGCTTTCCACCCCCCCCCCCCCTCCCCAGCTACAATCTGTTCAGGAATTCTGAACAATTTAATTTTATTCGACTGAACTGAAGGAGTCTTTTAAATGTCTGAAAAACGCCTTTATTGCCAACATGATTGATGGGAGACCCAAATGCTTAGCTGAGCTAACGTAATACACGAATTACTTTCAAATGACTTAACTACAGTTGCCAGGCAATTGGAAAAAGATATGACCTATATTAACTGTGTTTGTTAGGGTGCAGTATTCTATAGCTTAGCCACAAAAAACTACTGTACTCCTGCTGTGACTTAAATGAAAATGATATAATTTAACAAATATGTAGGATACATCTAGCCAATATTGTAGACAAAATAGTCTGTGACAACTTGGAGGACTCGTGTACAATCGAAAACAAAAATGCAAAGCATTTGAACATAATCACGGAGCGCAAGTATTTTCTTCGAGAGCTTCGTCGAGCACTGTCCAAAATATTCACCTCGAACTTGACTGAAATCTTAATGTTAGTCAAATCCCATTTCTCTCAAATCCCCTAACAACATTTGTAGTTTCAAATTCCACTTACGTTGTATCCTTCAGAGAGGAGGAAAAAAAATATAATGTACACATTAAGATAGTCAGAGTGATATGTTAAAAAAAAGATCCGTCGCGATTGAAACACGTAAAGCCAGCGGCTTCGTTTGTTGATTGTTCCGTTTTGACCTCGCCTCCTCTTTGTAATTTACAAAACATTGTTATCTTTGTATCATCCTAATAGAAAATTTTTAAATTTAACTGTGACTCAAAATTTAGTTATCAGTTGATTTACATATGAACACGCAGTTATCTATCTCTGAAAATACTATTTTTGTCTCGGTGCCCCAAGCGTGATTTCTATATCAGTGACGCAAGCCACATAACCTAATGCCTTTGGACATGTTTGCAGCAAAGTATAGCTACAACAGTTCTGAAGAGTAATTTTATTGTTGTCAAAATGCGCATAAATTATCCACACTAACTCTGAAAACACTATTTTATTTTCTAATTCAGCCGATGTTTTGATCTAAAGGGTCGACAAAATAAGCTACATTTCACCGTCCACTCTGAAAAACAAGCCGACCTGCTATTCCGAATGCTTATAGCTCAATTTTCGGCATGGAGGCATAATGTTGGTGCTTAATTTTTATCACAGTCCGGTTTATTTAAAATCTTTTAGACATCTCTACCAGAACTCTACTTGTCCTACTTCCCATCGGCAAAGCAAGGAAGTCGAAGTTGTGCCTTATCGATATCTGTCTAGCCGTTTACTTTTCTACAATGTAAGTGGGAATTTAGAAATATTTGACCGACAAGTGTTTTTAAAATGAATAGATGCAAAAAAATCGGGGCGCATTAATGTACAGTTTTCACAAATGCAGTTATTTTTCATTTTTAAGATGAGGGAGGATCAAAAACTGGCCTATATAAAACACGATTTCGCCGTAAACTTCCTCCTCGGCAAAGACACTTGCCGGCACAATACACTAAAGTGGTCACGTGACCTCTAATCCGCTTTTATTGCCGGTGAACCAGTGGCTTACTTTTGTATCAGTAATACTAACAGTACCAAGCTTTTACATTGGAAAAAAGTATAAACTCATTTCTCTATTTTAAAGTGTTTTTTTCACCTTCTCTGATTGTAAGGGAAAGACTATTATTGACTTAAACGCATCGCACAAATTCATTACCATTTCAAAATGTTACCGCTTTTGTTTTCTTTTCTAAAATATAAACAATTGGCACTTTTACCAGTCTGAAAAAACAGGCCAAAAATAGGCCTCTAATAACTATGTTTGAATTACATTAAGTTTCATGTCATTGGCTGAGCAAGGCTGTTTTTCTCCTTTGCTGCAAAATGAGTATGTAAACTTTTCACGACGGTGTTATTAGCATCCTTTGGCAGCGGCTAATTAGACACTGAAATATTCAGATTAGAGATAGTGATTTCCTGAAGATTGTACACATTTGGCATAATGATTGTTTCGTAATGACAAGTTGCTATTATCGGTAGCCAATCTTGAGCGTTCTTTTGAAAATTGTTACAACAAGACCATTGATCGGTGAATGATTCCTCCCGGAAACCTTCGAGTCATAAAACGATTTCTCTCGTTTAGTTACAGGAAATATCCTTTCAAGTGCTTGTTCAACAAAAACCGTCAATATTCAACAGTATTCTACGCCAAAACGAGCATTAGACATTTACAGTTGATTTTGGCCGACGAACTTTGTTTGCCGCACTCGCCGCCAAATGGCGGAGCTTACTGAGAAAGATGACCCCGTTACTTCGTCTATTTTACACTTCGTTCAAGAAGTCTTTCTCGTATTTGTCATAGCCGCAGCCATCGTACTTAACTTTTCTGTAGTTTATGTTATTTGCAGAAACAAACATCTCAGGAAGATCACCACTAATATATTCATTTTAAACCTGGTTGTGTCTAACGCGTTAATGGCAATATTTGTGATGCCACTGAGCTTGGTAACGTTTAAAAGATTGGGTTGGACCATTGATTCATCGCTTTGTAAGGTGAGAGGAATTTTTTTTTTAATTTTAATCAGCTTTTCACAGTTTCTTCGCTAACAAAATATTGAATAATGGAATTCCCAGTCGGAAAAAGGAGCACGTTTTTCATTATTTCAGTAGTTTACTAGTACTGGGAAAACTTTGTTAATGTACCAGTCATGCCAAGCCAGCTGTAAGGCGTTCTTTTCTACCATTGTCAGTTCTGCTTGCGATGAGACCTACACGGGAAAAATCGCCTTCAGCAGTATGTTTGAAAACTGAATTGTAAACATCCTTTTGTTAGGGACTTGTATGATAACGAAAAGAATTCTTCTGCTTTGTTTAACTCTCTCATTTGCTTTGGTCTGTAGTTGTTATTTTGCACCCAAAAAGGAAATAGGTGACCGTGGGTAGTGAAAAATTAAAGTTTGCAAATTAAAGCAGAGATGGTCTACCCGACTATAGAAATAGAGAAGTGCTAAAACTTTTCACACTTAAGAAATTAAACAGAAATTTGTCATAAATATTCAATCGCTTCACTGCCTGAAAATTATTTCACCAACATGCAAATTAAAAGAGATTTTTTTTTTCATTTTTCTAACTGAGATTAGCCGTACAGATTTTGACGTCAAAGAAAAAAAAAGAAGTAATCCAAAAGGATGTCTGCGGATTAGATACTAGTCATTTTAGTCAGTGCAAATAGGGAACTCGTTTATATTGTCATCCTATGTTCGTGACGAAAGTTTATCTCTGGATGAACAAACAAAATAGCGAAAAAATTCATTTTCAAGAAACGGAAATTTGAGCACCTAATGGTTTGTAGAATTTACCTTATTCAAAAGCGGCGCTCACGAATTCCATGTTTTCGATTGTTAATGTGAGATAAAACACTTCATGACATATCAGGCGAAAGGAAATGGCTTAATCTTATTACTGATAACTTAAAATCGTTTTTGAAAATCCCGTAGGAGGCAGGTATTGCTTGATATCGAATCCTACGCATCGCTAGAGGTAAATATTCATATCGGGAGCAAAGAGGAAGTAAGAGAATCTCATCATCACATTTCCTTAACGAAAACGAGATTATACGGCTTTTGTTTTAACCAAAGAGACGGATTCGAAGACCCTGATTGTTTCATGGCAACATAAAACTGTGTAAATTCCAATTCTATAGAGAATAAAATGAAGGGCCATTATGTGCCACTTTCTGAGTCTGTTCACCAAGGAGCTCCAGCGCGTAAGCTCTAGGAAATCCAACAAGCTGAAGAAATTTGTTTATCACACTTTGGCTATGCGTTAGTCGATACGCAAAGTGTATTTTGCGCGAGCAACTACTTGCATTATGTAAAAATTCGAATGAAGTGAAGAGCGTCGAAAAAAATAAAATAAAATAAAATAAAAAACTGCACTGTTAGGCGCAGCTTGGTCTAAATACCGTTTTAATCATTTGCCTGTTAATTACAGATGAATGGAATTTCCAGTACTATGTTGTGCTTTGCATCCATCTCAACTCTATGCTGCATCAGTGCTGATCGATACTTAGCAGTGGTCAGACCAATGCGCTACAAGCATGTGCTAACCCCGAGGAGAGCGTTCTGCATGCTCATGCTGGTTTGGTTAGGGTCTCTGTCTCTCGCTTGTTTGCCACTGATCACTAACTACGAGTTTCACCCAGGAACGAACCACTGCTCTCCTGCATGGCATCGTAGCTGTGAATTATACGGATTCATGACTGTTTTAGCTCTCGGAATACCTTTAGTAACTCTTCTTTCCACTTATGGTATGATATACTCGTCTGTGCGTAAGCATGCAAAAAGAGTTTCTCATTGGAGGGTTTCAACCAGTGGCGCAAGCGGGCAGCGGGACAGCACGTGTGTACGAGAAGCTGAAATCACGGGACATGAAATAGACTCGTTTCTCTCTAATTCAGCGCTTGATGAAGAACATACAGAACGTAATTTAAGTAGATTCAAAAAGTATGTAGATCAGAACAATTCGGAAAAGTTCATTGCACCTTTACGAGCTTTTGGATGCAAAGGAGAATCTTCTAAGTCAGAGATTCCAGACAGACATCAAGACAAAAAGTTTCGATCGTATTCCGCAGGATGCGAGCACGCTAGAACGGACGAGAATATTCCTCCTTTCTCCTTACGAATGAAGTTAGCTGAGGAAGCGGATAATGAGCCTGCGAGACCGCGATCGTGCTCTGTCAGCGTGAAATTTTCTGTCAGTGAGCTCGTACCAGGAACAGTTTCACCTTTTTTTTGCCCGCATGACCTGGAAGGAGAACAATTCCACAGATCGCTGAGGATGAGTAGTTATTGTATGCTGAAGGAAAAAAGCTTTACTTTTCCAGAGCCAAAGTCGTGTAGCTCTTTAGAATTGCGCCAGACCATTGATTCAATCAAGGAAGGAATGCCTTCTCATTCAATTAGTTTTACGGTAACCAGCGCTTCCACTCCTGCTGTAAGCCCTGACTTAAACATTCCAGTCCCGTTTACTTTGAACAGAGTTATTTTGCCAAATCAGAGGTCTTCAGGAAACTACAATGAAACGTCACAGTTTTCAGATGAGTCGAAACAAGCGTGGAATTCAAAAACCAGTCCTAACCATCTTCAGTTACCGCCCACCCCCATGCCTATTTTTGTTAAACCTGTCAATCCGGATGAACCCGTCCGTGGTAGGAAAGCAAGTTTACCAGAGCTGATCTCTCGGCCGAAATCTCGTTCGCGATCTCTCAGTTTTGGAACGTTGCATGACGCATCTGACAAGAACCCCACATTACTTAAAGCACCTACCACGCAGAAAATTAGTTCTCCCTTATTACGACTTCGTGCCATTTCAAAATTTAAAAGCAAACTTCGTGTTAGCGTCGTACCACGCGAGTACAAGGTGGCTAAAATCGGGTTCATTCTCGTGATGGTTTTTTTCTTATCTTGGGGTCCGTACATGATGGTGCATAACTGTCAGCCTTCCTCCAAGACCCCTCTGTGGGTGTACCGAATAGCCATGTGGTTGGTGTACTTGTCGTGTGTATTGAATCCTATTGTGTACGCATTATCAAGTAAACATATCAGAACAGCTTTTAGCAACCACATGAAGTGCTGTAAAAGGCTAAACGCTCGTATATCGATGCGTCGTGCGCGACCAAGAGCGGCAACAATAGCCTGAAAACAGTTTTACGTTTTCACATTAAATTGATGAGGACACTAATAGCTTTTCACATTCACTAACACCTACGCCCTTGAACAGGGGTAAGGGATGTTAGTAATGAGCGAGAGTGACACATGGATGAGACCAGGCAAAAGACGCGAAAATTGGCGTGTTCGCGTTGCATATTACTCATTGTTTTCATTCATGGACTTAATGTGACAAGAAAGTCTGCTTCAAACGCTACTTTGGAATGTTTATTACAACGCTGACAGAGAAGTCGGTAGAGAGTTGATTCAGAGTATTCTCTGTAATCTTTTTGTGGTGATCTTGAAATTGTGCAATTTAAGGTCTTTATAGATATAGGCTGCTTTGAGTGATCATATTCACCACGATGAAATAAAAAGCTACCATGAACAAGATAGGATAAGCAATAGTTAGTAGTTGTACCTTGAGACATTCAGTTTCAGATATTTTATTGCTAAATCCTTGATACATGGTGCTATAAGTAAGCAAAACCGTTTCTACAACTTTTTCGTATCATTCCAAGCTTTAAAATCTCAACAAGTTCCTCTTTTTCAATAAAAAAATTTACAAAAGCAGTGTAAGAATGTTTGAACCAATTTTACAAAGAGCTTACGATAACATGATCAGTACACAAGTACTGCTTATAAAACCTTCTCATGTATAACTTGGTCTAAGTTTCCTTACATGAACTGGTTTTAAATGGCAACTTGGGCCAATTAACCCTTTGATATCCAGAAGTGACTAACACATAACCTCTCCCTAGGATATCAATTCATTATCCCGCAAACAGGTAATAATTTTACTCAAACTTGTCAGGTACAAGTTGTTATCTTGATCTGTAACCAAATTCTTCTGACTAATTTGCATGGAAATGTTTAGCAGCTAGAGGGGAGAATTTACAATCAGATCATGGGTTAAGAACTGGTCCACTTGAGCTCATTGACAATTACAGTTTTCAGAACACATAAACTATTTGGGTTTCTTCCTGCATAAATTGTTGAAGAGATAGGTGGTCATCTAGATGAGAGAATTAACTACTTGATCATTCATGCATGTGTAGTGTTAGTGACTCCACAAAATTCACATACCTCCCTAAAGCCTAATAAAACACCACTTTTTCAAGAAGTACTTAAATTAATGTTCAATGTAAATCTCTTATGCTCAAGTCTAAATTTACCTTCTGCATCAAGAGGAAAACCAGTAGTGTTATAATCATATGATATGTACAGTGCTTTGGTATCTCTCGTTGTGTTGTTTGAATTGATTGGCCAAAAGTTGGGTGATAGAAAGTTTTAGCATGCACTAAAAGTGCTTATGAGGTGGAAGAATGCCATCTGTGTTCTCACTTGATTCCTGATTTACTCATGCTAAAGTGCACCAAGGATACTAGACTGTGAGCAGACCCTAATTATCAGCACTGCAGGGCATTAGTTTTGCCACCAGTGGGAAGATTTGTGACCAGTTGCCAAAGTTAGGGAGAGGTTTACTGAGGGTCTGGCACTAATGATGAGTGCAAAACCCTTACAGACCTCTTGCAGGCTCCAGTTGCTTTAGGCCTCATGTTTATGAAGAAATGCTTCTGCAGAAGAACTGATAATAAGGAGTTGCCAGCAGGCTAGATAAACAATAGCTCTAGTCCTATCAATATTAATGAATCAAGTAATAGCAATGATTTGAAATGAAGAATATTTGCCAAAATGAAAAAAAATGAAAAAAAAACCACAAATTTTCTACATGTTAGTACAATAGTCCAAATGATGCATTTTAGTCAAAAATGATGTCCAAATTGTATGAGGAGATAAAAACATTTTTTCATCTCATAGGTACTGTAACAACTACTTCATCTTTGTATTACTGGTATGTAGAATGATCACAACACACAAAGTGAACAATATAAACCATCCATGTGACAAACCATGAATATATCAAGTTTTCCTTGACATCAAGCTGCTCTGGTAGCGGGAGAGAGGGGAATGGAACCAAGGTCTAAGTAACCGCTCACGTGGTACTCTGATTGATTTACTATTCACCATCTTTTGAGGTTCCACATTATTCAAACGCTCTGATGGAAAAAGAAACATTCAGGATCAGTTCTGATCATATATCAAGAAATGTAGTTGTAGGAGAGCAGAAGGAAAAAAGGAAAGTATTATCTGGTAGGTAACAGCTCCATTTCTGTATAAAAAAAATAGCTCAGGCAAAATTTAGCATGAGAATTCTCTGTAGTGGAGATGATTATCTTATTTCTATTGCCTAATGAACCTCCTGTCAACAAAACCCTTTTAACTCTCTATAACCTAACATCAGTTTGCATATTCTCCTAACTGTCCTCTGTACATTTCCTAAGGTGCTGACAAGGAGAATTTGTTAAACAATCAAGAGCTGCTTTAGTTGGTGATCATTTCCTCTACTCTTGTGACCTTCATGTCTGATTCAGGGTGATTTTGTAGGGATAAATTAGATGCTAGTCACTCTTAGGGGTTAAATGGTTAAACAAAAATCATTGCATAGTAGCATCAGTCACTTAGCAACCAACAACATTCTTCTTTAAGACTCTCATTCCCTAGGAAATGGTACAACATTTCTCTATCAAACATATTCACTGAAGTCTTACATCCTAGCATATGGTTAGGAAATTGGACCCCTTGGACAGTGTGGGGCCTAGATTAGTTCTTGAACAAGAATGTTTTTGTCACAAACATTACAGAAAAGATCAATTCATCTCTTAGAATGAGGATGAAGTGATACATATTTTTGATATAGAATTTACGCGTTTGATCATGGTCAGTTATGGGGTAAGAGATTTTGAAAAACATATAACCCACCTCTATGAATCAAATAAATACTTGTGTCATGAGGACCATATGGATAATTTGCCAGCTTACAATTCTGAAAAAAAAGGGAGTTGAGCTTATTAACAGGACTAGGAGAAGCTATGCTAAATTTGTAGTATGAAAGACTTTTCATATTTCTTGGAATTTATGACTTAGGGAGATGTGGTGGGCTAATGGTTAGTGACCTAAACACCAGGTTGAGTAGTTCTGAAACCTGGCTGCATGATTGGACTATGTTCTTGGTCAAGACACTTTTCCCTCACAGTGCCTCTCTCCACCCAGGAGTATAAATAGGTAACATTGAATTATCAGGGAAGCCTGTTGAAATTCTGGGGGAGGGAACCTTGCAATGGACCAGCATCCCATCCAGGGGGAAGTAGTAATACCACTATCTGCTTCTTAGTAAGGAAAGGGGGATAAGCACCTGCTGGGTGGGCCACTTGGCTCATGTACAGACTTAACTTATTATGAGCCTTGGACAGCACTTTAAGGGATCTTACAAAAAAAAAAATCAGTTGAAATCTGTGGAAACAAGGGGTTGTTGTTTATGGCTCCGCTGTAAGTTCCACAAGTTTGTTAGGTTTCAGCAAAGAATTCAAAGTGGTAGCAAAACCTTGAGCATTGCCATTTCAACCTGTGTAAATAGCAGCCTGCAGAGATTGCTTTAAACTTGATGATATTTCACACATACAATGCCATTTTTGCTTTAAACTCTGTGATCATTAGGGGAAAAGCACACTGCACACTTCTGTAAATAAAGTAACAGTTTTGGAGGTTACCTTAACCATTTTATAGAAGCTATAGAAACCCCTGATTTTTTGTACAACAACTGCAACAAGATATGCTTTACATAAAAAGTAACTTACTTCCAGAATAAGATTTCTGTGCTGCATATCCTGTGTCCATTGTGGAACATACCTCTGTGGAATTTGAGGATGATAACGAGACCACACAGGTATGCTAAGTCCAAGCACACAAAAAAAATTGATTTCAATATCTAACCCATCTTTGGAAAGTGGCCCGATCTTAGTTTTTATACGCTTCTAAAATCAGGGAAATTTCCTTTAGGAAAAGTCCTCTTGATCATTAGTTGACTTGACTTTACATTATGTTCATCTCGTAGTGTATATTTAAGTAATTTGGCCAGAAAATGTCTAGTTCCTCGCATGATTAGCTGAATTAAACTTCACTGAAAGACAAAAAAGTTGTTTTTCTTAGCTTAGAATATCGATTCAATTCAGACACAAACTTATTTTAAAATAAAATTTCCGACATATTTGAACTTCGTGCATGTCAATTATGCACTGTCTTAAGCTTCTCTGATTACTTATAAAGTCCAGACTTCTTGCTCTTAATGATATATCAGTCTAATTTAAATTCTTCTTTTAGGTTGGAAGTTTATTTGAATGCCGTCACACGGACTGTGAAGACGTAAGAGACTTGATTCATGGAATTTTCTGTCATCTTTTTAAGGTAAACTAGCTTGAAATTATGCACGCTAAAAGTATTTTAAGAGTTAATCTGCTCTGAATAACCTAGAGCATGAATGTTTGATCTTACAAAGGATTTGCTCAAACAAGCTGAGACTAGCTAAAATACTAGGATTGCTGTGTGAAATACACTGCAAAACTGGCACCCTTAAATTCTTTTTGTTTGTTACCTAGTGAAATCATTCTTGTAAACAAACGGCGACCGCTTGACAACCTACAGAAACTGCGCAAATCGAACGTGACGAACTTTTTAATTTACCTGTGAGTTTGACTTTCAGTTGCCATTATCTATGTAGTGGTTCGCTCGGCTTTATGCGAGAACTTAGAACTATTCTAGAACGAATGTATTCACGCTCGCTTCGGCGTCAAGGTTTGAAGGAAGCCACTGAAAATACTGTGACACAGTGCTGTAGAGGGACTGGGTATCATTCTCAGTCCCATTCCTCCTTTACAAGTTAGGAAGATGTAATACTCTTCATCCCAAAAACATGGTTGGTTGGAATTTAACCTTTTTGTCAGCAGCACCGCTTGAGACCGAGGACGAAGAATAGGATAAAGACTTTTAGAGAAAGTAACGTGACATTTTATGTAACCAGAAGTTTTTTTTTTATTCATAGGTTGTTATGAGAATTTAATATTGTGCTATTTGTTGACGCCAAAGTACTCAGGGCGAGTGGGTTAGAATATACCACAAAAAGCCTTCAGGGAGCACTGAGAACTCAATTTAATATCACTTATGAGAATAGCTTCACGGCATTGAAATCACAGAATTTGTGCATTTCAATGTGCTTCCATTATAACTGGGAAGTGTAGATACTCAATCCTAACACATTCGCACTTGGAAGTTGATGTTCACCCTAAGCGAGTTTTACGAAGCCTGATTTTTGCTAATCTTGTCCCGTTGATCTCTAATTTAGAGCTGGATTGTAGAACACACCGAAGCGAATTAGTCCAGATATTCCATTAGAAAAGCTTTCGGAAGAACGCAAAAACTTAATTTGAAATCATTAACTTGATACATACGTAGCAGATTCATTTGAAAAAAAGATAACTCCTTGATCCATTGCGGGCAAAGAATACAGGGCAGAAATTTGCATTAATTTTCCGCCCACAACATATTTTAAGCGTAATTTGCGGGAAAATGATAACGTTGTTTTAATTTGCACTTCAATGACAACTGATTTCGTGACATTTCTGATATTTGGTCGATGTTCTTCAGTCTTTTTGGACGTGAATCTTGTTACGAATACGGTAATCATCTAAGCAGTTTGTTGGTTTATTGCCTCTTGCACTGGTCTCACTCTTAAGTACCCTGTCAAAATAAATACACGCAACTGTTTCAGGAGTGGTGGCCTTGGACTTATGTAACTGTTGAATAAATCTTCCGGTCCTCCGCTCTTTCAGTCGAGTCGATATCCATAATTATTTGCGAATCGACGGAAGCTCATGAATAATTGATCAAACACATTAGTTTAACTTGAGAGAGTGATTCATCCCAACGTGATTATTCAGTTAAATATCCTAAGAAGACTTAACAGAGGTATAGCCATCCCGAAGTCGATTATGCTTTTTCACCAGATTGCGGCATAAGACCAGTTAATTGTGACCCAAACGATCAATTATCCGAAAACTTCTCAAGATTATTTAGGAAACCGATTGCGGTCCATTTTGAGAATCATTTAGCAGTCGTTAAAAAAGAGCTGTTTAAGTTGAGGTCCCAGTAAAACTGCAATGCACACAGTAAATATGTTAATAAAGCTTTTATTTCTTAAGCTTCTTACCTTGACCCCTGCATGTTATACCTATGAAGGTGACTGTTTGCTTCTTTCACAGTCGGAGCTTTGAAGTCTGCCTCCCACATAGAAACTTTTCAAAACCTACCGAAATTAAGTATTAATAATGGATGAAATAAGTCCTCGATTCTTGATTCGTGAGGATTCATCTCTAAGTATCACTTAACTCAGACGCAAAACCCTTTTGAATAACTCTCTTCTAATGGCTCGTTTCTTTTAAAGTGCGCGATGATAAGTATCTCTATGCTATGGACACTCAGTGTCCTATTTTATCGAGGAAACTACTACAGATGTTTTACTTCGTCTTCAAATTTATTTTTTCCGGTGTGTTAAGAGGTAAAAAGGTGTGTAAAACAGTCAGTTCATTGGTTGTTTTCGTTTTATTTGAGTTTTAGCCGTCAGGTCATTAGAGCGAGTTGTACTAGGGAATTTAAAAAGGTTGAGAATTGTGAGTTTCAAATTAAGTCGATGTTCATCGCAGGCCACTGACTCAACGTTCGGAGTCAACTATTTGTGGAAGTCAGACTGGTTGGAATATTTAACAGGCCTTTCATGGCCCTTGTAGACTTTATTGCTCCTTAGTTAAAAATTTTACATTAACCATAGGAGCGGTTTCTTGTTTTGGACGTTTTGTTTGCTGTTGCGTAGCTACCACCATCTTAAAAACTTAGCAGATGTACTGAGTCAGAAACAATGTCGAGCTTTCTTTTCAGCATAGAATCACAGCTCGGTGAAATTTATTTTTCTGTCTCTCGTTTGTTATCATAAACAAGTTTTCAGTTAGTTTTAGTGTCCGAGTTTTTGAAACCACCTCGAAAGCAACGCAAGTTATTATTGAGTAATTTATACAACTTGTGGGAGATCTGGGTACGAAGATAGGCAGCCAGCTGATCATGCGAATCAACGAGCCTCTGGCCTTTAGTCTGTGCTTGGTTCAACCCGCTCAATATTTGTTTTTGTGCTAAGTTCCAAACAGTGCCCTGCACAGAGAATAATTTAGCAGCAACGTTTTACTGCGGAGGACTGAAGAACGAAAAGCGTTAAGTTTCCTCTTCTCTGTACAAACTCTCTGAAACGATTTAAGAATCAGTAGAAGAAGAGAAAGTAAGTAGAATGTTTATTTGTTTTGTTTTTTTTTCTTTACGCTATTGCCTCATCGCAATGGTTCAAAACATTTTATGCCAACATTCGTTAAAGTACAAAAGCCCATTTGTCTGAAAGACGAGCTATGATGAAACCCGACGTAACAGCCGCGATCAAGCTCTACTCAACTGGTTCAGTCCAGATGTCTTAGTTCCGCGTTTTAGAAGAAAAACGTTTTAATTTTAAGAAATGAATCTTTCGTTTTTTGGATCAACGCCCTGGCATCTGGAATACAATAAGAACTAGTGTGTAATCTTAAAACTACCAAAATTGATTTTGGAAGGTAAATTTCCATTTCAGACTCTGGTGAAATGTAAATAGCGGAACAGTCGAAATTAAAACTTGCAAATTTACAGCGGAGAAATTGCCTTGGGCGAAGAATAAGGTGTTTTCATGTTGGCATCCAATGGAAATTTTTTTTTATTTTCCGGTTCATTTATTGCATATGGGTCTATTACAAAAATGATAACAATCAGAAAAATTTAAAATTTTCTCTAAATCCCGATTTGAGAAAAAGGTATCGGTTAGCGATGCAAAGGACTTTTACAAACTTATCGTAATGCAAGAAGTATTGAGACGAGATTTTGAAACTCCAGAGTAATCGTTCTTTATCGGATGCAAGGTCTTACTGAAATATCATGTTGAAGTTCTACACATGTAAGTTTGTTCTGTCTCACTTTGTAATTTTCGTGGCAATTTGTAATGATCATCACACTATTTAATAAAATTGTCGCTCTTTCTGATGAAATTGTCACACTTTGTAATGACACTTATTGCACCTTGTTTTCAACTTTGTATAGATGATCGAGAACACGTAGACCTAATGATATCTGTCATATCTGTCAATGAAAATAATGATGATTATTATAATTATGATAATGACGAGCATAAAATATTCAGATATTATAGATAACACGAACAGTGAAGAATGTGGTTTCGTGTGATAACTACAAACTTCATGCCGCAGGGACACCCTACTATTACTTAGAATCAGATAATGCGCATGGCAGCTAATTTCCAATCCAAACTCCCGTTCCTGTGGACTTTCGCTATTATGGACACAAACTCGAGGTTTCTTGGTTGTCCCATCAGTTGATGTTATTATTGTTATTATTATCGTCATTTTTATAGCAGTCACTTTTAAGATTACTATCATTATCAATACCATTATTATTGTCATTATCACCATCATTAATATTATTATTATTACTATTATTATTATTATCATGGACAAGGATCATGGTTATTATTGGGTCTACCTGCCCTCCGACGATCTATACCAAATTTATTACAAAGTGCAACAACTTTTTTGATGCAAACTGCGACAATTTTTTTCTATTACAAAGTGAGACAGAGTGAGATGATTCATAACAAAGTGCGACAATTGTTACAAGTGCGATGATTGTTAAAAAGTGCGACAGAACAAGATTTCTCGTCACTTTAAGGTTCAATTTTGGTGTTCATATGCGCTTAAAAGAGGTTTCAAAGGAACTAAATTCATTTAAACCTGAAAATATTCGAGGAAGTGTTCGTGACTCGGCCTAGTAGCCAATTACTTTAAGGATAGGTGTGTACTTTGTGTGAGGTCCGTATGACAACTTTCACTTGAAAAAGTTCTTTGATAAAGAGAACAGCTGGAGGTAATTTGAAATTTTGTTGAAACAGCCAATATGCTAATGACGGCTTATTAAACGGATCGGAGAAACTGACTTAGTGCCACATTTAAACAGGTTTCTTGTTGTAAAGTATCCTTAATTGTTCTACGATTTTTCATGAAATGTAATCTCTTCATTTTAAGTATGCAGATGACGAGGATGCTGTTTTGATTATCGATTTAAGTGAAATTTAGCATCCCTTCACCGCAGATGTTCTTACCAACTTGAGAGACAGTCTATGTAAATACTTATTTTTCTGGGAAAATATAAACTGGCCCGCAATTAGTTAGACGACAATCAACTGAGCGCGCAGGCTCTAATTGTGCTTAACGAAATAGTAAGTTATTTCCGCTGGAAAAGAGAAATTTTTTGTCGAGTATGAATAACATTAGTATCTCCAAATTAATTTATAATCTTGGGATATATACTTAAGGTGAACGAAAATTTAATCCTTTTTATTAGACTACGAAAAACTTTAAAATAGTGTGAATATTATCATCATTATTATTGCTGTCACTGATTACTAGTAGAAATGTTGTTATTACCAGTACTTCTATTACCATGCAGCTACGTAAGCAAGACACACGTGAGCGCCTTTTAATTAATGTACTGTTGATATATCCCAGCTCTGATTTTCAAGTAAACGTTCCCAAAAGCTAGTTGTTGCTTTACCATGATAAACTTATTGATGTTTTAAAATTTAACAACTTTTTTTTCACCTTTTATTCTTAAAAAATTGTAAGTTTTAAAATTTAACAAGTTGCTGTTTAATTTGAAACTTTTATCGGCTTTTCAGAGACTATTTTACCAAGTGCATGCACAGGTAATGTAGTCCTTGAATATTGCGGCAAAGAAACATGATTATCTGAGCTCTTATCTGGCCCTGGGCACCAATTCGTCGCTCATTTAAGATTTACATTTGGCTGTCCCTTTGATTGTTACAGCGGAGATTATTATACAGAAAGCCCGCCACAATCCGAATTCATAATCAGTTTAGAATTGTTATCAATGCGACTGAATCACCCCATTAGCGTACAAGGCGGCTTAACATATCGAGGTATGAGTATTTCAGAGGTAAATGAATCAGATCACAAACTTTGTTTTACACCAGGATGGTTCCCAAAACAGTAAATGACAGTGCTGATTAGTAAACAAATAATGCTATGTAAAGAATGTTCATGTACGGGTTTTTTCTTCGCCTTGGATTTCAGAACACCTGAGTTCCTCACCGACGCGTGGGCCTTTAGCAGCGGACCACAAACGGTGAGATTTTGAAACTTTTTCAAATATTAGGCTTCATACTTTTTATCTGAGCGAAAGTTAAATCATGTAAAGCTTGACACTTTCCTGTCATGTAATCTGATTTTAGTTTTTTCGTATTTTTTGATTGCGTACCATTAATAATGATTGTGGTACAGAGAAAAACCCACGTATAATATCACAAGTTAGATAAGGTTTCTTAGAAGTTGAGTTTTACATGCAAATGAGAATTTTTTCCTGTGAATTGGGATCACGCTGCCTATGCATCATTGGGTTTTTTTCGTGTTTCGACTATTAAAAAAATCGAGAAATGATAATAAACCCGAATATGAATAACAAGGACGGGAAAGGAAATTTATTAGAGAGCTAATTTATTTTTATGTCATTCGAGAAAGAGAAGTTTATAGCCTAGCTTTTGTGCAAGGTGGTATGACGAGGGAATCAACGTTGGCTCCTTAAAGTTTTTCAGGACATGTAGCCGGCTGTTCTTTGTAAACGCTCAATCTCCATTTGAAATTTTTCGTTTATACTCATACTTACGTGTAATCTGTTGGAAAGTCATGAGTGGCCCTTGGACACGCTTTTTTAATACACGTGAGCTTTTTACTGTCTTTCTCGCCTACATAACCAATGGTCAAACACTGGTAATTAATGGAGACTAACTATAATCTTGTTGATGGAGATTAGAATTGAAAATGACTTCGCCACTGAAGGAGATCCTCACGGACTAACCGCTTACGGTAAAATCTGCTTAACGTTTTCGTTTAGCATACATGGATTGCAAACCTGAGGATGAATTAAACTCATAATCTGAATATTAATGGTAGAAATTTGCAGAAAACTTTTTTCATCCCGATTAATGCTTTTGACACGTTCTTTGTGGTTTACTTTCTGAAAACGATTTTGGGCTATTAAAGCTTTTAAAGCTTTTAATTTTACACAGGTGGTGTAGGTCTCATGTCGAAAATGGATTAATTTTTTACAGAAATTCTTAGAGCTGGTGCCTTAGTCTTTTTTGTTAATGGAAAAATCCCAAGTAGTTTTAGCTACGAAAATGAGTTGGCAAAAAACCTTTCATTGGTAACTGATGTATAACTGCTCTGACTTGTTTGAAGTTAGTAATGTATACTTTTAGAAAATGAGTTGAAAAAAAATCGATCTCAATTAGTGAAGTCTATATTACTGAACTCCTGCTTTTGTTTCGGGTGATTTCCCCAATAAATGCAAAAACGATTCTTGATTTTCGTCCTCACATTAGTATTTTATTTTAATTTAAAAGCGTTCAACATGCATGCAGCACGCGACGATAATCGCGTCTCTAATTGACAACCCATTTTTGGGTCTTCCTTTGTCATTTTTCATAGACAAACATTGGCAGACGCAGTCTTGTTTTCACCAAATGACGATTCATTCAATTCAATTGCACTCAAAGTGTTCTTGGTCCTATTACTACCAAATACAACATTGATGAAAAGATTTAGTATCAACAATTTCCAGTATTCTAGAGATATCGGCAAAGTGACCAATCGCACCTCTCTGAATTAATATAAAACATTTGTTTAGTTTTTTGAATCGGAAACACTAATCTGGTAGCTAATATCGCAGGATCAGATGCACAGTGATGGGCTTGATTGAAATTTTGACATACGTCGGAACATTTCAGTCATAAAAACAGATCGAGCTGTAGACATAACGGAAATGGAAGAAATTATACGCCAAATCCTTTAGAGTTCCATACAGTACGTAATTTGCTAATCTACCGAAGATAAAAAGCTTTTCGGACAAACAAACGAAAACATCTTTAAATTCAGACCAACTTTAAGGTATACAAAGGCGTGCTGTGATAGTAAAATAATCCGTCACCTTTTATTTATAACGCTTACATCTTGCAGCTGGCTCTAAGTATGTTAATTCGTGGTTTGATGTAAGTTGTCTTTATATGTACTTACCTGAAAGCCTTCAGGTCTTTGTTCAAGATAATTTATTTCGTTTAACCGCCCGTGGGTTATAGTCGCCAACAAACTGGACATCGATTATAAGTCATTGAATAAATATTCGTGAAAAAATCCCCGAAGGCTCTGTTCACTCAAACAAGACATTTTCATCATCTTACAAATGTAGGTAGACAAACTCGTGATAAAACTTGAAGTTTTGTGATTTTTATTAATAAATCAGTATAGGAAGTCATGTCATAAGATATTTATAACGTTGTGCATTTTCATTAAGAAATTTTGTAACTAAAAAATGCTGTATCTAGGCGTCGCTCGGTTATCAGGTTGGCTTCAGGTGCAAAGTTTTGTTTCTGATAGGAGAATTGATCTTATCGAATGGAATATTTGCGTGTATCGGAAGACTTAGTGGATAGAAAAAGTACAGAGTCCAGAGATCGAATACATTATTTCAGTGCCTTTTTGGACATCGAACACTTAAGAAATGGATCTTGATGACGAAATTCTACCCCCCGTGGAATGCAATGCGTTGTGATTGGATTGTATTAAAATGGAGACTGAAAAAGAATTTCGGAAAGTTCTTAATTCACTGTATGCACAAGAGGAAAAACTGCATGAGGTTAAAGCAAACATTATTATATATAGGCTAGGTGATTATGGTGATTCTGACACGTTTTTCGTAATTGGAGATGAGAATGCTATAGTACTCAGCCGGAAAATTCATTTATCTTGAGGTAGGAACACACGCACTCATTCAAGGAGAGTAATGGAAAAATTTCTGACCGTTCACTTTCCTCCACTTTACCAAGCAGAAAAGGTGTAACTTCCTAACATCAAACTTGTTATCATATCCTGTCGCCCGATGAAGATACGAGTCCATTTTCACTAAGCCTTTGAAACTTCCTGAATATTTTGAGCGGAAGAAACAGGCTCACATTACCGCTCTCTGATTATAACAGCCTCAATGTACAACATTCTATATTTTCACCTATCTCACTCGGCTTGAGACTTGTTCCAATTCTTCTAAACCTGGTTTAATTCAAGTTGCACTTAAAAGTTTAATAGGGAAGAATTTTACAAATAAGTCCTGTTTGTCAAAAGTTAAGAGTATAGGATTTAGAATAACGATGTATTCATGTATAGAATAGCGTAGAGATACCTCAACAAAAAAAGAAACTGACAAGTTGATCGCAGTTTTATTGGAGCCGGTCATATTTTTATGGTTAGTAGTGCCGATGAAACAAACATTTTTTCCACAAAGATCTGAGCAGTAATTCGAACTCTGGAGAAGAACTGAAATCGTTTTGACTTCTCTTCAACTAAGACACCATCTCAAATCACCTGTTCGTAGCTGCAAAGCGCAATTTTCATACGATCCTGCCTTGTCGGAGTTTTTTTCCTATGTTTTTTTTTACAGGCTTAAATGTCTTCAAATATTCACCGACAGTGAGACAAAATAGTTCTGAATAAACAAAGGAAGATAACTTTTTACCTCTTGAACCTTGCACTTTCCGTGTGGTATATTTTGTTAAACTTTCCACTAAGAAGTGTAATTCTAACTGAGTAAAATTAATTTGGCTTAAACTCATAACAAAACAATAAGTATTTGCTCTATTCAACTCAATGGATCGACTGAGCATAGTCGCATGGATCTTACAGCTATTTCAGTTATTACTTTTTAGAGATTTGTTCAAACATCGGACATTTCCACTCTTCATGGCCTCAGCAAACCATACAAATCAAGACTGAACTCCAGTGTATTGAAAGACGTAGAAATATCGATTTTGTCTTATCGCTTTTCAGGCTTAGAGAGGATGGCGGATGCCGTGTACACATTTTTCGCTATTTTGGCCACACTCATTGGAGGAAGCGGTGTGATCCTTAACTTTCTCGTGTGTTTGATGTACTTCGCAACTCCGAAGCTTTTAGATGCCACTAACATCTTCATGCTCAACATGGCGGTTGGAGACTTAACTTACTCAATCGTGGCTCTTCCGCTTCTGGTCGCTTCCAACGCTCGGGGTGAATGGGCATTTGGAGAAGCAGGTTGTACTGCTTACGCCTTCATCACATTTTTTTTTGCACTTGGCACCATGATGCTACTGGCGGTTGCTGCTTACGAGCGTTACTTCACGCTATGTAGGTTGTACAATGACGGTCAAACTCAGTTCAGTAAGAAAAGAGCAATCGTTCTGTGCGCACTGATATGGTGCTATTCTCTGTTCTGGAGCGTGATGCCGGTTCTTGGTTGGTCCAGATACATCCCGGAAGGTATTGGTACCAGTTGTTCAGTGGACTGGACTTCAAAAGAGCAAGGTAATGTGTGGTTCACCATCCTTTTGATCCTGGGCTGCTTCCTGCTTCCTGTTTCCATCATTATCTGCAGTTACCTCAAGACCTTCAGGGCTTTGAGAAAGTTAAGCCAACAAGCGTTGCAGAATTGGGGAGAAAACAACCGTGTCACCCAAGAAACCCTCAAGGCAGAAAGTAAGATGATGTGGATAATAATCGCCATAACAGCAGGATACCTCTTTGCCTGGACGCCGTATGCCTTAACTGCAGTAGTGGCCATTATAAACCCAAACAGGATCAGCCCTATTGGGGCCACGATTCCAGCTTATATGGCCAAATCTTCAGCTTGCTACAATCCAATAATTTACGTGTTCATGTATAGAAAGATGCGAAGCAGATTGTGGGCAATACTTTGTTGCAAGAAATCTCAAGTTCATCCAGACGCACAAATTGCTTCTGAAATGGCAAGCTATCAGAAAAGTGCAGCGGTTACATATGCTGGACGAGGAACTTCATTCGATGATCGAAACGTAGACTTTCCCCACTCAGCCTGAATAGCTGGCGGATCTTGAGGGGAAGGGGGGTCAGAGGATTTTGAAGTATCTCTACAAAATTCACTGATGATCCCCCCTTAAGTCTCTGCAATATTCTTTTGAACCACCTTCATTGGCAGTTAGTCGTCTATCGATTTGAAGTAGTCCCTCCTGTTCAGTCTGTTGGCGACGACTTATTCCCTCTCATGTTTCCCCTGAAAACACGTGATCCCCATAAATCCTCCGCTCCCCCTCCCCCTCTCAAGTGATAAACAGTGATGGTCCCTAACTGACACCAAGGAATATCAGTGAAAGAGTTTGATCTTGTTTCCGGGTTTTTCAAAATATCGTGAACTTTAACTAACACAAACAACGCCTATGAGGAGGTTTCCAAGATTTCCGGAGTTCTAATGGAACTCAACTGAAAATTTTAGCATTCTCTCAAAACGATGCGTACTCTATGCATTTCGACAATGTTAATCTGACTCGTCCTTGTCGGTTGGTCTCGAGAAACGCGAGGAAGATGGGTACAACTCATGGACGTACGCAACACACATTGAAGGGGACGGTGAGGCAAATATTCTCTCCTCCTTCTTTTGCGTGCGATTTTCACGGAAGGAACAGGGACAAGTTCTATATTTGTTCTCAGGCGTTACTTATTATTTATCACGAGGTGAAGGGGGGGGGGGGAGGGGGAGAAAGGAGGAGGTTTGGGGGATCACATGGTTTTCATTGTTGCCAGAGAGTATACAGACGGGACTTTGAACTAGCTACCAAGAAAGGGGGAGGGGGGGGGGGGGGGTCATAAGAATGTTACAGAACCTTATGGGGGATCAGGTAAATTTTAATGACACAACCAAAATCCTCCAGCCCTCCCCTGGTGATAAATATTGAACAGTCACTTAGGAAATGTGACAAACTCCATATATTCATAAAAAGGATCCTAAAGTTGAAAAAATCCACAGCCAAAATAGATTTTCCATTACTCTTAAAGGAATCTTTAGTTAACTGTTGTGTCATGAGAGTTCATCAGAAAAGTAATGTTCATTGAGTAAACATGTAAAGTGGAGTCGAAATAATTGAACTCACTACAACTTAAATTACTTTAAAGTTATTTCCTTAAAAAATACCCTTTGTAAAATCATATTGCCTTTTATGGTAGATACTCAGGATATCAAGTTTGTCAAAAAATAACGTAGGAGGAGTAAGTTTACTTTTTAGTGCAAGGAAAATATATGTTATTCAAATAGAGTTCTTTAACCAACTTTCAGTGACAACATCAACATACACACAAGGAATCAATTACGAGCACTTGAATATTTTCTTCAACATTGTAAATCCCAAACTTGGGTCACACCAATGACATTACCTTAAACCAAATTTGGTTCTGAATTAACACTGCATTTCTATGTTTTAAAACATTCTTTGCCTCATACCTTTCATTATGACCACAGTCCCCAACACTAACATGGTTGGAACTTGAAAATGTTTGAGAAACCAAGACCAAACAATATATTGTGGAAGGCTCCAAGCCATGACTAAAACCCTCTCATAGCTTCCATCTAAATCTAAGAATTCAACTAATTCAACTGCACTTGACTGGCAAGACTCCAAAATAAACCACTTTACAACTGGCCTTGCCTTATTTTTACAACTCTATAGATTCAGTTGCTACTTAGAAAAGAGTTATCAGTAAGTAGAAGTTGTCCCCAGAGATCTGACAGCACCCCTAGTTTTTTACTATTGATGTGGTTCAAAATAATGCATCACTTCCTAAGCGACACAAATAAGACTGCCATTTGCATGGCTTCTCAGCCAGTCACTGTGTCCCATTGCACCTGAGGCATTTGATAACACAAAGTTAGTTTGAACATGACCTGATGTGAAGCTGTCCATAAGAGAAACTGAGGTACATGGGTTAAGCAAAAGAAGCTTTTGTGATAATATTTGGGTAAAAAGGGTAGAGGAAAGTCTTAAGTCTTCAGTGGTGTCTTTAGGAGTTTTCAGCTTCTTCATTTGGACTTTGTTTCTTGAATCCTGCACTGCACTGTTTAATACAAATTCTGAGGGTTTCCAATTGCAAGAAAGTGGAGAACTGCTTTCATTTCCCAGCAGTCCTTGTTGGGTCTTGATGTTTCTAACTTGCTGTAGTAGAGTCTCAGAGTGGTTTTGCCTCATTTGAATTCTCTTTGCAACCACCAAAGCCACTTCTGTTCCTCGCATAGGCATTTCTGCTAAATGATGAAACCTGCAGGCAGATTGGGTGGTTAAACAGACTGGTGTCTGCACAGAGGGAGTGAAGTTCTGATGAATGTCACTACTGTGGTGACAATAATGATTGGTGATGGAAGTGACAGACAGTGCCAAAGACAAACTGAACACATACGCCAAGGCACACGCAGAAAAAACCTGAAGATTAAATAACAAAAGAGCTGGGACCAACCTCTACAAGTTTACAGTGAGGAAAAGGCTACTTCAAAACAGTTAAAACAAGAGCGAATGGGTATTCTAGTTAACTTAATAATATGCCCAAGGCTCTTATTTACATTTGGTACCTCAAGGGAGGGTCCTTATTTGAGAAAGTATGCTTATTAATTTTTTTGAGAAACAGCAGAATAGCAAAATATGCAAAACAAAGCTTTACAGTTTAGTTGAAAATAATTGTGAAGACCAGAAAAACAAACTTGGATCACTCCTGGAAAAAATGACTGGTGAAGCAATTGTCACAAAATTTTTAAGACAAGATCATTTGTATGAAGGAACTGTGCTCTCACATGGAAATAATAGTTGTCATGAGGCAAAGACTTCTTTATAATTAGGCTTTAAGTGAAAAATCAAAGGGAGATGAACCATGGTTGTTATCACAATATCCCTGTAATCTAACAGTGCTATGACTGAAACAAAATAGGGGCACTTATTGGAATAGGGGTGCTTATTGGAATGGGAGTACTAACTTGATGGACATGCTCATTAACAAAAACCAAAGCTGAGGGGGTGCGTATTAGAGAGAGGGGTGCTTATTAGAGAGAGGGGGCTTATTGGAACGAGGTCACTAACCTGAATCATTACTGTGCTTCTAATTGACCAAAAGAAAATTCAGTGTGAACTGCTGTATAAAACAGTCTGTCCTCATAATAATTATGAGTAGTTAAAATGTCTTGTCAACACCTTCCAAAAATATGACATACCTTCAATACTTCAAGTCTAAAAACACCCAAAGTACCAAGAAACCTGGTATTATCCAGTAATGTGCTCAAGTCACCATAAGTGAACCAACCACGGGAAAGTCCATGAGTAGTTGCAACTCTGCACAAGAGAGGTCAATAACTATAAGCTAAGGATAAGTTATACAAGTCCACTAAGAATTAATTGAATTCCCAAAACTTTCTTTTTAATTATGAAAAATATTTCAATTTCTTGTACCTGGACTCCACTTTGTTGACAAAATCCAAAAATTCTTGATTGCTGACAAAAAGGTTCCAGTCCTGACATTGAAGAGCAGAATTATCATCAACCACACTTAACTTTGTGAAAGAATACAGATGTTATCTTTCCATCTAACTGTTAGTTTGATCCTGTTGTACTTACTGTGATACACTCTGAATATTGCCACAAAACAAAAAAACAAAAAACCAAAACAGAAAGGAAAGAGGTGTAACTTGAAATATAGCCTAGTACTTACAATGGATGCTAGGAATTCCACCTCAAGCTTGTTTACATCATTCACAGTTTTGCTCCCTGAAGAAAAAAAAACATGACAGAATTCTGACCATTCCCCATACAAAATTTCCATGGTTCTGAAACTGGCAAGAAGTTATTTACTTAAATCTATGCTCTGTAAAATTCTCTTTGCTTCATTGTCTTAAATTTTTCTATCAAACCACAAAAAACCCCAAATGGCTTACCTGCTCTGGCCCAGTCATCATTAAACACTTCCTCCGTCTCTCCTTCATCATACAAATACTTGGATGCAACCATCTATAATTAAACAAGAAATATTACATGTTTGGTGTTTCCTTGAATAAGCCCAGGCTGTTGGCTTATATTTCAAAAGGAGGGGTACTTATTTGAACAAGGCAGCTTAGTTCCCGGAAGGGGAGGGGGGGGAGGACAAATAGGACAAATATTAAACACAGATAACACACATAAAGGAACTCTGCAAACACATAGGGAAAGAAATAACTGAAACAGAAACAAAACTATTCAAGTGTACTGATTCAGCTGAGATTGAAACTTGTGAAATGGCACTACTATTTATGAAAGCAAAGGAGGAGGGAGTGCACTTATTTCAACATTATGGCCTTGGAGTGGGCAGTTATTGGGGAAGAGCACTTATCATATTTATTATTTAACATACAGCACATGCCACACATGAGTGGAAATGGGACTTCCCTACTGTCAGCATTAGAATCTTTTTAATGAGGACAATTAACATATTATTAACCAATTCCGATAATAAAACAAAATAATCTACACCTTACTAACCATTGAAATCAGGAACAAGTCAGAGGATGAAACTCGTTTGAGATACTCAGGATTCTTCTGACGTAAACGCTCAGAGTAAAGAATTCCCATCATCAATGTGCAGGGAGATATCTTGGCTCTCCTGATCAAAACAAGGTTGCTGGGTGTCAGTGATGTATGCTTGACAGTTTTTCTAAGTACATTGAACTTAAAGGAAGAACATTTACTTGAAATTACTTTCCATGTGACAAGAGAGAGGATGTGTTTGCAGTATTCAGGGGAGGGAAGGGGGAATTTAAAGATGGGGGGGGGGGGCTTATTGCAAACTTGAAGTTCAAGTCAAAAACCAACTTAGATAGGGGAGGAAAAGGCTTCATAGAGCATTTATTGTAAATTTATATGAAACTTACCGTGAAACTACCATAGCATAGCTTGTATCCAAGCACTTTCTGTCTGTGGGTGCAACAGAACCAAGGACTTCCACTGCAACATCTGCAGGTGAATATTTGAAGAGATCACAAACAGTTATGCTGCAATTTCTTCTCTGTTTTATGTATTTCAATGTTATCCTTAAACAGCACAAAAAGCTACAAGCAATTTTTGATCATTTTAGAGTACGAAAGTCATATTAGCCCCCAAATGCCGCAAATAATTATGAATACACGGGTACGTCATCTGCAGTCTACTTCTCCTCGTGTGCATTATTTGCAGAAATAAAAATGGCTCTTCAAGTTGCTATTGGGTTTACATGGAAGGAAGAAATTAAATACCACGCCAAATTCTGCTCTATTTTCAATAATGTACGGGTTAAAATTTCAGTAATAGCGCGAATATGTTAATTATGCAAATTTCTGAAAAATCATTCAGTAAGGCCAGTGCAGTGCTTGCATCATCACTAAATATTCCCCGCTCATGAATTCACTTCTAAACAGAAATTACTAATCATGACTTTAAAAGAGTAGCTTTATACCTGTGACTGCCAAAGATGGAAGCGATCCGTCCGAATATTGGCCATAGTAAAGAGTTTTACGGACACGATCTCTGAATTCAACGTGATCGCTCGACTGCATAGCGCCTCTTTCCTGAAAATTAACAATCATCAGCCATATATTCCTACGATCTTCCGCGATTTTAAACCAAATCTTGTGCTAATAATAACTTAGCTTACCTCCTGATCTTCACTGTTCATACCAGTATTCTATGGCAGTCAATTATAGACAAAATTCGATAATGAATTACCACTCCTTGCTTAATCAAACGCAATCAATATATAGTCGCCTGGTTCCCAAGCAACACCGATGTTTGCAACCGAGAGAAGCTGGGAATAGTTTACAATAGCAGCTGGGGCCTGGGCATACAAAGTTTTTTGTTTTTCGAGTGGGAAAAGGTTATTTTTTTTTCTGTCATGAAAAAGGGATAGAGAATGGAAGGAGGTTGTGTGTAGAGGGACTTCTTTTTATCGGAGACCCGACGTTGCCCTAATAATGGGCAGAGAACTTGATTCAAAATTAAAGCTCCCCCTTTTTTCTCCCTCTTGGAGAAATTTAAGTACGCGATGAAAATTAGTTATACAACTTTAGAAAGTGCTAACGGTGGCCCATGAAATTATCAACTTAGTCGTTAAAACTAAATTATCATTTAATAGCCCTAACCGACGTAGCACCACAGTTTCTTTAGAAACTTACCCTCTTCATCTTATGTTCTCTTTCCCTCCTCGTGGGCTCGTTCTTTTTAACCTTTGATTAGGGTTAACAAGTTTCTTTGGCATTTCTAATTAGTTCAGCTGGGAGTACAACTTCAACTTCCTGAAATGGTGACCCTTCTACTTCTCCCGTGGAGAGTGATCTACTCTGGAAAAGAGTGTGTACTTGTACAAAATGATTTTAAAGCACTTAAAGACACTCTTAACTCTAAATTTTCCATTTTCGTTGGCTTACGAGATCGGTTCAATGCATCCAAATGATTACATTTTACCGGAAATGGATTTGAACTCATTACGAACCTTTTAATAACAATTTTAAGCACATCTGATACTCTTAATCTCACGCGCATTAGAATAACTCCCACGCAATGTTGTTGTTGTTTTTTTTATTCAGTGCGAGAGAATTAACACTTCACCAAGGATTAAGTAACCTTATTTCTGTCAACTCTAATTTTAAAATCAAGTTCCTAAAAGAGGTAAATGTTCACCCCTCAATTAGAAAAACAGTGGGATTTGATTTATAAGATGTTTCTTAAGACAGTTATTTAAGGATAAAGCGACCTCAACTAAACAATGGAAAGGTAATTTGTTATTATAACTGGGTTTAAAACGTAAGTTGGTCACCGGTTAGAGTTTCATAGCTTTAAAACTCTTAACGGTGGTTAATTTACGTTATCAACTCAATTCATAATACTAAATTATCTTGTTACACTCTCCCACCGACGCAGCGTCGCATTTTCTTTACAAACTTACCCCCTTTAATCAATGGAAACTCAGTTACCTCCTATTCCTTGACGAGAATAATTCCAAGCACCTTCCCCGTCCCGCCCATCTAAGACCTCGTTTGCTAACTCACCTTTTTGAATTTTTAAAGAGGCGTTTTTCGAGAACCAATTGTCTCATTTGCAAAGAGACGTAATTTTGAACGATCAGTTTTAAAACTGAAGTTTGATATTTGTTCAATATTTTTTCCTTATTACTTCAGATTAATAAGAGTGATCAATCAACGGAATAGTTTTAAAATTCATGACCAGCTCAGCGATGCTTTCGAGCGTTACACTTGTAAACTTTCTTTTTCTTAAAATCACCAACTACGTAATCACGTAATGAGATTTTCGTCACTCCCCTTGATTAAACGACCATTTCCGGATTTCTTGGATGCCTCATTAGAATGCAATTTGGTCAGTAAATTTTAACAGTAATGAAATTGAAAGTTACTTTGCTTCGGGTGTTCATGTCCACAGTATCTTAAACTTGTCATCGCGCGTTGGATTTGTAACAACGCAATGCATCAAAAGATCGTCGGTCATATCTTGACAACCCGACAAGTGCACGAAAATTCACGAATGGTGACGAATAACGTTTCCGAGTACTTGAAGAAAGCAGAGAATGTGACTCTTTCATCATCAAATGAAAGGTGAGAATTTGTATATTCCATGAGTATGTCTGTATTTTGTTTTATTTTTGTAAGTCTTCGGCGTTTATTTTGGGTATAACGGGTAGGCGAAACCCCACTCGACTTAACAGCACATTTTACATCGTCATTCATCTGTGACAGATGAAAGGACGTGCCTGAGAACAACACATTGGTGAAGATTCGTTCGTTCCGCACTTAAAATTCATAAACTGTAATCGAAGTCCAGAACTGACCTATCAGCTCCGGCGTAGCCGCTTTTGTTAGTAAGCTGTTCTTTATGATCAGTATTGATTTTTGCGACGGTCCGTGTGATTAGATTCGCTCGGAATTTAACTGGTCGACCGCATCATTAGAATGTTTAGCTCCGAGTAACGCTGATCAGAGCGACAGATACCACGATTTAGCTACGTGGACTTAATTGAATTTCAGCTAACATATTTCAAACAGCGGTTGAACCTGGTAAATACCACAGGGCTTCAATTCATGAGCGTTTTGCTGCAACTGTCAAAGAGTTTACGTTTCTTGCGGGTATTCCAGAATCTCCTAATTACATGTTCTGAGTGAGCTGCTATAAACGAACAGTGACTGATTGCTCTGATATAGCTTCAGAAGCCTCTTGTTCCAACATCTGTACACGACAGTGGCAAATTTGGTCAGCTGAAGAGCCAATTGCATCGTCTCTTATTTCTACTGGTATCTACAGGGACTGTTCGAGTTTATTTCATTCACCTCTGGTTATCATAGATACAAAATGAAATGAGGGAATTATGTCATATGTGGAATAATTTCGGAGCAATGACAGAACACGAAGGAACACCACGAGGATTATTCGTGAGAGCGTGTTTATTACAGGGCTAAAATGGGTTACACGAATTTGAGAGATTTCTGCGGATAAATAAGACTGCTTCGTAGAGAAAGAACACCATAAATGTGCTTTGTCTACTTCTAAGAGCGGCAAGCAAGCACCCGTTTGAAACGAAGGTCTGCCGACAGACACGCACCGGAAACGAAACTCTTCGCGATATTAACTGCGAGGGAATGACCGAGCGATTGTCTCCAACAGCGAAAGAAACACGTCGATTTGTTTGGATTTTAGGAAAGTCGAGAACTCTGTTTTTGTGATGAAAAAGACAAGGTGATTTGGTTCCTTGTATTGCTTTGTATATATATTTACAATTCCGAAATGTTCTACTTGTGGGCAGAGCATTCGAGCATTGTATTTCAAAACCATAACAGACATTGTCAAAAGTTCGCTTTAGTTGTTTTATTTATTTTATCATAAAACAATGTGTGTATCGTATTCGACTCATGTTCCTCGATCTTTTTTGTTTAAATATACATTTAAACGATAAGAATTAACTATTGTCTTGTTCATTTGTTGGTCTGGTATGTTCTCTTCAAGTGTCAATTAATTTACTAGAATTTCGTGATGCCAGAAAAATTATTTGCAACGAAGTAATTTAAAGGAGGGGAATTAGCCGTGATTAACCCATCAAGATGAGTTCAATTAAGTAAACTTTGACAAGGATATATTTTTTTGGAACTAGATAGACTGTTGGTATTAATTCTTGGCGTGTAGTTGGAGCCTTTTCTGCATGCTTATTTTCCTATTTTATCTCTAATTTCAGGGCAAAAGACGATTCAGAAGCTTACCAACACCATTACATTTATAACAGAGATGACGAAATCCGCAGAAGCACAGGGTCCATTTATGGAGGTGATAGCCCATCAAAAGTGAAACCACAACCAATGCATGTCCGAAGTAACAGCGACACAAGTGAAATAAATGTTTCAGTGAGAAATAACTACATCGATGGGCATGCTGCAGAAGCCCATTCTCCCACAGGAGAGAGTTTCTTTGCCATAATAAGAAAATTTGAGCAAAACATTCAAGATGGACAGAAATCGGTTCAAAAGTCCTGGTTTTATGACAATGAAAACCAGAATTACCTTGTTGATGGGCTCAGAGGAAAGACTGGTACAAGCTCTGCCAACTCAAGTCCCTTGGTTGAAAGAAGAACTCCTCTCTTACGTCGTAGAAACTCTTTGAGAAACAACAGTTATTTTGGGAGAGTTTTTAAAGGTTCAGGGGATGCGAAGGGAGGAGAGGAAGAGGTTGGAGATGAACCATCTAGAAAATATTTTGCACACTATGACTGTCGCAGTATAACAGTTGATTTTGATGAGCTGGCACACACATTTTCTGCTCAAGGTGATGGACTCAAAAGGAAGAACACACGCTCTGGTGCTTCAGCAGCATCAACTCAGGTTACTGCAGCAACACTTGCTGACAGAATGCAAAGACGTGGCTCAGACTCGAGTGCAGGCACAAATGAGGACAATCTTCCTGACATGGGAGATGACAAAAGTAATGGGCTTGTTCTGAACTGTCCCTATTTTCGCAATGAACTTGGTGGTGAGGAAGACCAAGACCCTCAGATTGGTCTAACTCCAGATAATGTGGCATTTCAAAATCTTCATGATCCAATGCATCCCAAGGAACCAAAATTGGACACATTGAGGAGAAGGTCAACCCTTGATATTCTGTTAACTGCTTACGACTCGGCACAGGTTGGAAATTTAAGCAGTGGAACAGGTGTGACAATTCTTGACAACTCAACACCCGAGAGTGGTTTTTTATATCTTGGGGAGGGATACTACAATGAAGATGGAGGAGTATTTGAACATGTGGATCATGGATCCTATTATTACAAGAACTTTTTCCTCGGTCAAGGTATGTTAAGCATGGCTTTGGTCAATATCAGGTTTGGGTAACACATCTTATCTAAAAAACTTTTGCCATTAAAACTGGTTTTGTTTAACTCCATTAACCCTTTAACCCCAAAGAATGACTGGCTTCTAAATTCTCCTTACATTATCACCCTTTAAACATATATAAAGGTCATAGGAATAAAGGATATAATCACCAACCAGGAACCTCTTGATTGTTAGACAAATTCTCCTTGTCAGCACCTCAGGAAATGTATACAGAACAGTATTAAGAATATGCATACTGATGTTGGGGTGTAATTATTTAAAGTGTTAATAAAACCATGTGTCTAATCTAATTAAAGCCAAATCAGATCATTCCTTTACTGTTTCTGATCTGCTTTGTGCTTAATGGCGTGTAAAGTCCTCTGTCAGACAAAGTATATCCCATAAACTTAGTTATTATTAATTAATTGTTAAGAAAGGAGTGTTTCTCTTTTTGAAATGAAGTCTTCACTCCATCATTTTTAACCATCTTAATTATAAAGAGTGAATAGCTGTAATCAATCATTTAGGTCATGAAAATTAGGTCAATGATCACCAACCTACATGTAAGAAGCTGTGAATGCATGTTCTCGTTTTCTGAACCAAAGGAAATGAATAGAGAAAAGTATAGACATCATCTGTATTAATATTAGGGTGATCAGTAATGATGTTAGGGCTAGAAATTATATCCTCTGACATTCTTTTTCTTTTTGTAGAACATCTGAATTATCTTGGTATGGATGAGAGATTTGGCCCTGTTGCGTTGTCCTTGAAACGAGAAAAGCTTGATGAAAGCACTTCTCTACTAAACACAGGGGAGGCAGAAGGCAACACTTATCAATATCGCATAATTGCTCGATCTAGTGAAGTAAGTTTCTAAAAGTTTCGTTTTTCTTCAAAAAAAGTGAAATTTAATGTCATAAGAAATCTACACTGTTTGAGGTCTGTGTTGAAATCTTTCACACTATTTTTTATGCAAGCTTTATATGTTTTGTGTTCATTATCATTCCCTGAAACAAAGAAAATGCTTCCACTACTGCTTGAATGCTTTGCAAGTTTGATGATCTTAAAATGCATTCTAAGCACTTGACATGTAGGGTAACAATAGGCTCTTTTAACCTTTTAACTCCCGAGATCTGATTGGTAATTCTCCCCTCTGGCTGCTTCACATTCCCTTGTAAATTAGTCACAAGAATTTGGTGTTAGATCAAGGTAACAACCTCTGCCTGATATGTTTGACTATTCTCATTAACTGTTTGCTAGATGATGTAGAAATATTGTAGGGAGAAATTACATGTTATCACTTTTGGAAGTTAAAGTATTAATTTCAGTTTTATATAAGGGTTTATCCAGGCTTCTCTCAGTAAAGCTTGTCTAAAACAATAAAGAATTTTAATACAGTGTTTCAAGAGTAGAATGAATAATTAATAATTAGTTATTAATTCTTCATTTGAACAAATTTGTAGTTGACAACACTGAGAGGAAGTATCTTAGAGGAAGCCATTCCATCAACTTCAAGACATGGTTCAGCACGTGCCCTCCCAGCTAAAGATATCCTTGAACATGTGATTCCAGAGTTTCAGTTAACTGCTCTTAGGATGGCGCAACCTGGTATAAAGGTACAGAGCTCTACTGGAAGATATGAGACTGTGTCTAACAGAGTTTTTGCATGAATCTTTCATCAGGAATATTACAGCTATAATCTCATTGGGATCTGGGAGCAAACCAGTAATTAGTAGTATATCATACACAGTACAATACTACTTTTCATTCTGAATGGGATCAATTGCACTCTGGGCCCTTCTCGGCTACCCCCTTGTTAAAACAATGATGAAAAAAGGGATTAATATTCTTATTGGCTACAGTTCTTGTTATGGTTGTCATGATGTACATGTTGGTTTTTAAAATCCTCTTGTGTTATAACCGTCACATGATACAAATATATAGTTATCATGCAACAGCTGCTGTTTACATTGATATTTTTTCCTCTAATTATTCCTTTGCAAAGAAACAAAGCCATTTCATCTTCATTATTTACATTTTTGTAGAGTCCAGTGGTAGTGGCATTATAAAGCTGCTCTCAAAGGCAGCATGGGAAATGACAAAAAAATTTCTTCTTTCTCCTTCTGGCTAGCTGGTATGTTGGCTGATAATGTCCTTGGCTAAGAGATTTCCCCTCAAAATTTTACATTTGCCATTGAAGCTTTGCTTGTTTGTCAAATGTTCATTTTGCAGACAATATCTCAGGGGTGGATATTATTAGCCAAAGTACCAGCTGCCTAAAGGGTTTATTTACTAAATATTTGCATCTGAGTCATAAAGAAGTTTCATTGGTCAGATGCTGTTTTTGGAGGCTGTAGGCTCACACAATGTCTCTATAATCAGTTATACTTTATTTACTTGAACAAGTGCGGTGGTGGTTATTTAACTTTTCACACCTCCCTAGTCGTTAGTGGAGTTTTTTGTTTTCATCCAACTTGCTCAGCTGACTGGTTGGATGACATAAAGTGTTAGTGGCCTTCTAGTTTGCAAGTGGCAAAAGGAATGAGTAAATGATATTGTGCTATTTCTTTGCACTTTTTCAGGTTCCAGAACAGCTTGCGAAACTTGATGAACAAGGGGTGAGATACATCTGTAAAATTTAACCACCTTCTGTGTGCAATTCAAGGATTGGTCTTATTCAGTAATTGTCTGACTTTTTTGTGTAACATTTTGTTTTTTTGTTTTTTCAGATGACCAATCAATACAAAGTTGGTGTGTTATATGCAAAGAATGGCCAGGGTACAGAAGAGGAGATGTATAACAACCGTGAGTAATAGTCTAAATTCAGTGGAAACTTCTGAAATTTTATTCACAGGAAAGAAGGCTGGTAATTGTGTTTAAAGGTTTGTGCAATATCTCAATGAAACTTGGAAAACTAAGGATAAAGAGGCAAGGTGTGTTTAAAGAAAAAGTGATGCATTGTTAGTGATATTTTGTGGAAATAAAAATAATAACAATTTTTACTCTAGACTACATGTAGCAATAACACAAAATGAGTTCATGAAAGCTTGCTATTACAAAACTACCAAACAAAGGTCGCTAAATTGGTGACTTGAGCCCCAAAGTACATATATTGATTTTGTTTTTCTACTCTCCACAGAGACCAAAATGGTCACAGCATGAAATGAAGTTGGCGTTAATCATTTTGTATCTGTGGGTTACCAGTAATCAAATTTTTGTTGTTTTGATTCTGTAGAAACATCAGGCCCAGCTTTCGAAGAGTTTCTTGACTTGATTGGTGAAAGAGTTACCTTGAAAGGATTTGAACGTTATAGAGCCCAGCTGGATAACAGAAGTAAGTTGTTCAATGAGGGAAGAAGTTCCTTTTTTAAACCTTTAAACCTATAAGAGTGGGAAGGATCCAATTTCTCCATACAATATCACCCATTAAAATCAGAAGAATAAAGGAGATGATCACTTACTAAAGGAGCTCTTGATTGTTCAATAACTTCTCTTTGTCAGCTCCTCAGAAAATGTATTGAAAACAGAGTGGAGAATGTGCATACTGATGTTAGGGTGTAAAGGGTTCATTTTTTTTCTATTTTTGCTGGGCAGATGACTCCACTGGGGAGTATTCAGTGTACACACAGTTTCATGGACGTGAAATTATGTTTCATGTATCAACGCTTTTGCCTTGGACACCCAACAACAGACAACAGGTAATGCAGCTCCATTTGTAGATTAAGGTTAGTCAATGAATAACATAGTAACACAACTATTATTATATTATACATAGTCAATATTATACATAGTCAATATTATACATAGTCAATATTATACATAGTCAATCATGTATTTACAGTATGTGGATCTTGGTAATGGGGACAAACATTTTTTCTCTAAATACTTAATTATTTCTTTTCTTCTTTTGCAGCTTCTGAGGAAGAGACACATTGGAAATGACATTGTGACAATTGTGTTCCAAGAACCTGGTGCTCTTCCATTTACACCAAAGAACATCAGATCTCACTTTCAACATGTTTTTATTGTGGTCAGAGTTTTCAACCCTTGCTCAGATAACACATACTACAGGTATTTTTGTTGATATTCTTCTTAATATGGGAAACTGTTGGACCCAATGTTGTTTTAATATGGTAGAATGTAGCTAAGATGGGGCATTTTCTACACAGCCACCTCTTTTTCCTTTAAAAAATGATAATTTGTGATTATAGCAACCCTTTTACCCTGCAATAGTAATCATTTGAGAAATTTCCCAACAATTGCAATACACTGTCAAGCAGACTGGTGATGAGAAGTAAGGTAATTATTCTTTAGGGGATATTGTCTTAATAGGACTTCAAGTTCTCACAAACAGCCAACAAAGAAATGTAGGATCATCAGTTCGGAGAATTCACTTTCAGATCATGGGAGTGACAGGGTAAAACAACCCAGCATGCTTCCAAATGCAGATAAAATGCTAGTATGGTACACAGCCTGTGGAAAATCTTGTTCATCCTCCTCCCAATACTTTGACTTTCTTGGGGCTTGAGATATCTTGGGGTAAATTAGTGGGTTACAGTTAAAAAAAATCCACACACAGTAACATGACTAAGATATTGACCAACATTGCACTGTACTTTGGTTTGTGACTGTCTCTGTTCCTTTCTGTACCTAGGGTTGCTGTAAGTCGTTCAAAAGATGTCCCTCCATTTGGACCTAATATTCCTGCAGGTGCAAAGTTTGGAAAGACACAAGCCTTTGCCGACTTCCTCTTGACCAAAGGTAGAGAACATTCTAGTCTATTGCACTGATAGTTTAAAATATTCCTTATGACAAAACCGTAGAAGGAAAAAATTTGTGGGAAAAAAAATGTGTGAAAGGAAAGTCTCAGTTCACTTTTTTTTTAAATGGCAGTCATAAATGCAGAAAATGCTGCCCACAAGTCAGAGAAGTTCAGTGCTATGGCCAGAAGAACCAGACATGAATACCTGAAAGATCTTGCCACAAATTTTGTCACCAACACCACACTAGAGACTGGGGCTAAAGGAAAAGGTATGAGAAGGCCTCCATCATGACCTTTAAAAAGCAGTTGGACATGTTCATGGACAACATATTTCTTGATTAACATGATACTCAAAATTGATTAGTACAAAGTTGCTACAGGTGAAGTGTAATTGTTTTAAAATGTTTGATTGTATAACCAAGGAGTGGAATTATAAAACAAATGGTTGAAATAAACAGTGCATTGTTTTTGTGAAAGTTTAGAGATGGACAGTCAAATGTTTGGGTCAAGGGCCTTCAGGAACTGAGTTACTCATCTGAGAGCACAGATTTTAGCGATGATTAACCCTTAAACATCCAGAGGTGATCAACATGTAACTTCTCTATCCATGAATTATCTGGCAAACAGATTATGAGAATACTCAAACTAATCAGGTAGAAGTTGTTATCTTGATCTAAAACCAAATTCTTGTAACTAATTTAAAAGGAAATGTGTATCAGCTAGAGGGGAGAATTAACAATGAGATTTTGGGAGTTAAGGGGTTAACAGAGACTAGAAGAGACTTTTTTCTTTTATAGGAATCTTGAGATCAACCAAGAAGAAGGAGAAAGTTCGTCCTCCAATTTCTCCAGAAAAAGTCTCCAGAGGTGCATTGGTTTGGAATGTGCAGGTACATGTGTAAAATATGTTGGTTAATAATGTTGTGGTTGTATTGGATGGGTACCTGTAGAAGACATGAGAGGAGCATAGAGAAGTGGTTATCAGCATATTTAGACTCAGTGGAGGAATGATGACCAACTGAAGAAGCTCTTGATTGTTAAACAAATTCTCCTCGTCAATACCTAAGGAAATTTATAGAGAACAGTATGGCGAATAGATATTCTGATTTTAGGGTGTATAGGGTTAAGGACATGCATGTGTGTGTGAATTGCAGGTTGAAGATTACAGGAATGCCTCTATGATTGAGTGTAAGATGGGAATCTCTGCAGATAGTCTGGTGCTCATTCACTCCTCAAGCAAAGTAAGTGATCAAGAGCCCCTTGTGTGCTCTGGTTTGACTTTACCTTACTCTGCAATTACTCAGTTTAAATGTTTCAATTATCTCGTGTAATTTGATTCATTTATTTAATTATTTCCCTATTTATCTCCTTTCAGGAAGTGCTATTTAGCATTCCAGCCAAGTCTGTCATAGGATGGACATCCTTATCACAAAGGTATTTTTGGAGACAAAGCCTCTTGTTTTTCTCTACACTTGAAGTGAATTTTGCTGTCCTTGTGTAAACGTACAGGTTGAAGTCTTTATTTGAGATGTCATCTTTAAGCCCATAACCCTTAAGAGTGACTAGCATCTAATTTATCCATTCAATATCAGCCCTTAACTAAATATAGGTCAGACAAATAAAGGAAATGATCACCAAATAAAGGCACTCTTGATCATAAAACAGATTCTCCTTGTCAGCACCTTAGGAAATTTATAGAGGACAGTTTAGAGAATATATGTACTGATCTTTGGATGTAAAGGGTTGATATACTTTTCCAATTTCTTTTTGCTTTTCATGGTATTTTCTTATATGTGATCATCACATCTTTTTTGAACAGCATCAAAGTGTTTTATGGCAGTGGTTATTGTCTGGTGTTGAATATTCCAACACGTGATTCAGATGACATCCCAGAGATTGTCAGGCGACTGGAAGAAATTTCTATTGGTTGTCAGGTAAAACAGCATGTTTGTGCACTCAAATGTCAAAAATGGGATGTTAGAGCCTTCCTTGATCATTGACAAGCTACAGAAGTTTAATTGAGTGTAATTTTTCTGCTCGGATGATTGTTTTATGTGTTATTTCCCGTTGTGTTCTGTGGTGGTTTTACAGGGCTTTGGGTTGAAAATGAAAAAGATTTCAGTTGAACCAGGGTAGATACATCTACATACAAATTAACTTTCGCAAGATTAGTGTTGGTCGAAAACGATACCAGATAGAATTTGAACCACAGCCTCACTTGATTAACAGTTCAGTTGTTCAACACCAAGCTGAAGAGTTCTCAAGTGCGTCAGTGAACAGAACTTTCTTTAACAAATCCAGAATAGCAGATTGGTTTTGTATTGTTTTCAGACTCAAACAATGACTTTGCGGCGAAATGGTATGGGACAGTTAGGATTCCATGTACGGTTTGAAGGCCTCATTGCGGATGTCGAGCCTTCTGGATTTGCTTGGCAGGCAGGGCTAAGACAAGGATGCAGGCTTGTGGAGGTTTGTGAGTTTGTGATTGAGGATATACAATGTTTTGTGCACATAACAATTTGTGTGGAAGTTTTTTTTAATTATTTCCTTGAAAAGGAGAGCATTTACAGCATGTACATCCTCATGTTGCGAGAATTTGAATTTTTTGCTTTTCAGATGTTTGATTATAAAAGCATGTAAATGTAGTTTTCACGGGTGAAGATGGTGTTTGGTCGATGCTCAATTTAATGTACATGTACTCTTACAGCAACATAGTTATGTATTTCATACAATTGAGTGGACATTTTTCCAATGAACTGCTACATTCTCTGTCTCGCGCATCTGATTGGCTGAAAACGAGTGCATCTTTCACGTAAAACGAGCGCAAAACTGTAACGAGTGCAAAGTTGTAACACAAGTGTAAATTACAAATAGCGCGCGCGCTGCTTGAATTTCGTCTGTCTCGACTTTCTGTGATGCGTTTTTCATGTAAACTATAAACTTATTAAATTATTGTTGTCTTTGAAAAATTTACAACTGCTCATTTACACCAAATTGTACTAGAAATCATCTGGTTACTTATAATTACTATTTATGTAGATCAACGGGATGATAGTAGCCACACTGAGTCATGATCAGATGATTGACATCTTGCGTAAGCCAGGTTCAGTGACGGCTGTGATAGTGCCACCATTCCAGAGTGGAAAGCCAAGAAAGTGCGTATTTCTAGTTGTCTTCTTGTTTTCAAACTGAAATGTTCTTTTATGTCCCCCCTGCTTCCTGCTGTCTACTGGGTTATTTATGGCTCACCGCGTGTTGATATTGTACCAAGGAGTATCTAGTTACTCACCTGATGTTGCTTATTACCCTAGGGGTTAACTACTTGTTTGTATTGCCCTTTCGGCATGCAGTGACTCGATCTATGTTTATTTACCACCTCAGGGGTATGCAGTGACACATGTACACCCATTTTGTTTCTTACCCCAAGGCTATGTAATGACTCACCTCTTGTTGTTTTATTAGCCCAGGGGTATCCACTAACTTTCCTTTTTTTTTTTTTTTTTACACCGGGAGTACATTGGGACTCGCCCTATGTTCATGTTACCATGGGCCTGTAGAGTAACTTGCTTCCTTTTTTTTCTTACCCAAGGAGTATGCAGTGACTCACTCTAGTTTTTTTTCTCACCCCAGGGGTATCCAGCCGACCACTGGTTCCTACTGGAGCTCCTCCAATCGTGCCTCGGTCACAACCATGTCGTCATTCGGCAGTGCGTCATCAGTGGCAGAGGAAGGCGAGTCACGTGATCACTCGGCAGCCTCGTCTTCATCCATATCAGCCCCTGACAATAGTAGAAAACAGCCGCCAAAAGGTTTGACGTCCAAGAACGAAGTGAAAGGGAAGGAGAGTCCATGGATCATGCGCTCGAATAATGCGGCTTCCATGGATGGCAGGTAAGAATGAAATAGTGATACTTTTATGATGTGTTTTGAGGTTTATCTTTTTAACAAAAATTCATGATATGACATATGATAGTTCTGTGCACCACATTGGATGGTCGACGTATTATAGATTTATAGGTGTCAACCGACTTGTTTTTACATGTATTTATACACAGTCTTTAGTGCGCTGTTTGCGTTTTCTGATATCATATCTCGTATTCCATTTTGTTGCTGGTGGAGAAGACCTTCGTCAAATCGTAAAGTGCCTTGTATCGTGAATTTCAGAGATATTGCTTTCAGTGCACGGTCAATTGTGTACATGGGAAAGCCAACTTTGCAATGCATCTTTAGCCGCTTTCAATGTATTCATAGAAATCAGTTTAGTTCAATTTTATTCATGGCTCGAGGCGTTCTGTTGAAGACGCCCTGACACGAACTTTATTTCGCGTCTTTCAGAGCTATGTACTCAGTCTCCCGTCCTCCTGACCCACCGTTGTCGCCCAGTGCGAGCTCAGCCTCGTCTGTCAGCGGCAGCACGTCAACGCTTCACGAAACATCACGACAACAAGCTGCTACCTACGGGGCTTCATACACTGTGACAAGCATTACTCCAACAGATCCTAGACACCAGGCGTCCTCTGAAGCACAAGTAACGCCAAAATGGAGCGGGCATTTAGCGGTAGATTCAGACCCACGGCCAGCCAAGCCTGTTGGTGTGACGTTAAAGGCCCATACAGCTTCAGGCACCTTATATGCCATCGCCAGCGGACCCTCGTCTCCGCCAGCGTCTCCGCGTACTCCAGAGACCCCCATATTTGGAAGTACTTCACAGAGACATCGCAGAGTGGTTGTGAATGGTCAAGGGGATGGAAACACTCCTTTAAGGATAGAGGGAAGTGTACAGGATGGGAGACCGCTAGCGGACAGTTATGGTACTATTCGTGTGAACATTGAACCGTCAGTAGCGTCAATGCCAAATGACAAAGCACGAGAACCAGATGTTGCTAATGGTGAGGTGATGCAAGCTGCTGCTTTGCCTTTTAAAGAAACAAGTCTTGGAGCAGTTATTACTACTGTCAACACTTACAAACAGAAACAAAGCTACGAAGACATCAGCGAAGCCTCTATGTCTGACACTGTCGATCAGATCGAACGCGCGTTTGGTTTTAAAACACCTGACATGATCTCGAACGGAACTGGGAGCCTGGAGCGGAACAGCAGCATGCGAGTGAAGAACGGAGACAGGAGCCCTTCCGATTCTATGCAGGACATTCACCTGACCCGCCGTGTGCAGTCAGGGGATTCACTGAATCGATACAGTGATGATGACGAAACTCCCATAAATATTCTGAAACGACTGTCAAAAGAAGCCAACAGAGAGCAGGACAGAGTGAAGCAGAGAAAGAGCGAAGGAGATCTGCCACATAATATGATTAAAAGCAGGACAACCACTGTGGTCGAAGCATCACCAACATCGGTTGAAGTTAAGAAAGAAGCCGGAAGGAAGTCTGAGTACGAAGCGCGGATAGCCGCAAGAAACCTGCTTATAGAACGCTTAGAAAATCACAGGCAATCACTCGAAAGCCACAACGTAGAGGGAATCAAAATTTACCATGCTAAAAGTAGAAGTACACCGGCTGATGGGGCGAAAAGGTTAAATGGCGAAAAATCGCACAAGGCGCGGCAGACCTCGCAGGATGACAGTGCAAAGACTTCTTTAGAGAGGGACGGTGTGGAAGGAGTGGGGAAAGGTGATCATTATTTAAGGCGGAAGAAATCTGCTCCTGAATCACCAAATGTTAAGACAGTTCGTACTCCAGATAATTACCGAGCAGGCAAACCAGTGGTACGCTCTGAACGAAAAATCCGCTTGACAAGTTCTGCGAGTTCGAGCGGTCAGACACCGGAAAAAAGTCAAACAGTACCCCGTCAGAGATCAAGCCGGCGACAGAGGCATGCGTCCAAACAGATGGCTGCTGCCAATGGTGGAAATTCAGATTCATCTGATGAAGGACGTAATAATCGATTTTCGCGAAGTGGAGATTCCGTCGATGCCAGTCCATCCGTTGTGGAAAAGCTTCTTTTCACGCCCGATAGCAACAAAAAGTCGAAGAGTCTCCCGCGCGAGTTGGAATCAGGAGCGATGCCACACGCGAGTGACTCTCGCGAAATGCGGAGTCATCGCTCGCATTCTCATTCGCACTCATCACATCTCAAAGGAGCGCGTATTACCAAGATTAAAATGAGCGCAAGCGAGGAACCCAATGATTCTATTGTGGATCAGACCTCGCGGCTGTTACACGCCGCTAAAGCTGTCAAATACGACAAAGGATCTTCCCTTGTCATAGCTGAAGATGTGTTGCACTCACTAACTCGCGCGTCTGATCTGCTCCATCATCAGTCGTCGGCTGCCAGGGAGGAGAAGGAAAGAGACAGGAAGGATAAAGACAAGTCACTTAACAGAATAAAGGCACCTGGTAAGTGTCGGGCCGGGAGGGACAGGAATTGGGGTGGGAGGGGGTGGTAAAAATAGGAAAACGTTCAGAAAGGAGAGGAGACAGGATTAGGAAGGGATAATGTACGGTGTAATTCAAATTTCCTCTTTTCTTTCCAACTCTTTTTTCTTTTTTTTGAGATATACTTCTATAATAATTTAAGATTAGATTTTTTGCGTTTAGTTACTCATGACACTTGCGGGTACAAAGCTAGATAAAAATTACTCTGGAGGATTTGACAAGATCGAAATGGAAATAAGTTTCATGATTTTAGACTTTTTAAGGCGGCCACCCTCTTTGTTTTACATCTCGTCCTTGTTCCTTTTCGTCATGGTCTGAAGAGTTTAAAATTACCGGAATATAGGCTAGTTGTTTGTATTGTGTAATCGCCAAAAATAACTTGTCAATATAACTTATGTTGGAGTTGGCGTGACGGCTTACACGACAAGTTGGATGCCGTGAGAAGCCGCGAGAAGCCGCATTCGATTTCGTTAACAGTGTCATGAATGCGGGTAGATCAGATCGAACTGCGGGAAGGAGAAAATGGGATTTAAGTACTATTTTTGGAGTTCCAAAATCATGTCTGCATCTACAATATCCGAAAAGTTTGGGTAAGGAACCATAGATGTCTTTTTGCGATTACTTTTGGATGAATGTTACAAGTTTTTAAGTGGGTCAAGTTCACGAGCTAGATGTAGTCGCATGAAATAATCAAAGCTCCAAGCCTGAACGAAGGCCAGTCTGTGAACAAGGGATTCACTTCTAATCCTTGTTAATGTAGGCAGGTTCTCGAGAATATTGAATTGATTTTGTTCTTCAGGGGGAGAGCTGTTAGTTGGCCTATGTTTTGTCGGCCGTATTTGATTAATTAAACTATGGACAAAGAAGTAAGCGAATAGTTTACATGACATCTTGACTCGAATTTGTGCAGAATTTACGAGCTTTGTGCATCGTTAATTGCATTTTTAGTTGAAAGAAACTAATCTCGTCATGGAATTCCGCTGATCCTTCAACTTGGTGTCTGAGATGTAACTTTAGGTCGTAGATATTTCCGTTCGATATCTGAGGAACCAATCATGCGGATTTTACGCTTTCATCACCTCACTGTTCGAGATTTACAGTACGAAACTATTTCTTGAGCCATTTATCGTCAGAAGATAAGTTGCCCTCGAGCATTTACACCATTTTGGAAAGGAATTCTAGAATGAACTAATAGTGAGGAAACGGAAACACTAGTTTCGCTCCAATCATTATTTTGTTTTGTTCTGGCGGTGGAAAGTTTTCATTTTCAAGTTCGATTTCAAACAAGTGCTAATGTAAATCTGAGAAAACGTTTAGTCGGTTGGATAACTTTGGCGCGGGGTGAAGTTGCTGACTTTTCTCTAATGGACTTATATTGACATGTGTGGAAATCAAGATTCATCCGATGAAGGACGTAATGGCATGTGCGTGTAATCTTTTTCACTGAATAAAATTAATGTACCTTCGCTGTAATTTTTACCATTATGTCCAATTTCCTGCTGTGATAAACGCTTCCTGCATAATGTACTATACTGACTTAGTCACCTACGTAAATCTCCCGGTCGATTTGTTTCATACGACATTATTTTGGGCGCGGACTTTGTGTTGCCATCGGCATTGTTTTGGCCTCTTAACTTGCCTCAGTTATATTGTTTTAGAGTTTATTTTTGTCGTAGATATCTTACCCACTTACATTCGCTTATTTATATTTTCTTTGCGTCATGTTTGTGTTTTGCCCCGCACGGAGAAGTTTGTCTGCTCTGTTTGATCAGTTGGTGACTTATTTTCGCTGTTTGAATCTTAATCACGATAATTAACGCAAGTCAGTTTTAAGCTCAGTCCCAAAACACCGAATTCGCTAGATTTGGTGAAGTCAGATTCGTCTGCGAAGACATTTATGCAGCTTAATATATTTATCATTGCCTCCCACTTACAGTGCGATTTGTCAGGTACCTTCGCCAGCGTTGTGTGATGTTTGGGCTGTGTAAGGAAGTCAGAAGTTTTCATTACTTATCACTGACATATCTCGGATGCCTTCTGTTTATCGTAAAACAAACTCACTAAATGTACACAGTGATGGAGGACATCAACTCTCGTGACCTTTTCTTGGCTTGTCACTTTTCACCGGAAATGGTGTGTGCAGTGCTAACGAAGAACTTTGCACCGGAAGCTGTTTCAGTTTTAGATGGCCGATACAGATGTGTTTCTCGTGGATTGTAAGAATTCAAAGAAAGAGCTACTACAAAATCTTGATATAACGTTTTTTCTGAATTTTTCAATATTTCTATTTATTTTGACAAATTTGTGCCATTGAAACAGTAGCAGTCCAACATTTACGATGTTTTCTTTCTCCAACTTATTCTTGTCAATATTGTGAAGAGTGAAGAGCATAAATTTTAACGTGTTCTGTGAAAAACTTCCTGTGAAGAACGAAAATTTTCGGTTCCTTACAATCACACATCTAAAAATATCGCGATGCACGGTAGACTATTCATTTCATTCTTGCAAAGAATGTCTTTCGTGACAAGTAAGGTGAAGTCTCAAAAAAATCCACAGAAAATAATAATTTTGCAACAGAATAGACGGCAGAAGGTGTAATGATTCATGTGGATTTTTAGTAGGAAATGCGAAAATACAAACTCATCTTTGGAATTAACTTTAAAAAGCATTAATCAGTTGTTGGAATGTGAAGACTGTTTTGTGCGCCTATTTTTGTTGTAGTGCACCTTTTTGCCTGAAAACGCAGCCGAGGTCAGTTCTTTCTCGAACACTTCAAGTGCTTGCGAAACTTCCTGCCGAGAGAACGTGTTTCTTATAAATGTTTTTCTGACTATCTCAATTAGTGAGAAGATAAGAGAGCTTCTCACGAGGGTTCATCAATTTATATAATCCACCCCTTCTCTAGAAACGTCAGGTGCAATCATTTAATGGACCTGCGACCGCCCATGGTTTATCTGAATAGACGCACTGTAGCGTAATAAACAAGCTTCCAACCTTCATTGTGACGAGCGCCGCGTTCTGAGATGTATAACAATGGCGCCTCGTGAATTGTTGTATGTCGTTTTCAGTTCATAGTCCTCCTCTCCATGCCTGTCTCCAACCCTCTGCATGCCAAACCTGTCCGAATCCTCTGGCGAACGAACGTACGGCCGTCTTCGGCCAATGCAAGTGAGCTACCTTAATTAACGATTAAACGTTGCAGATTGTAACTTTGTCGACGTTGTTTTTCTCGTTGATTTTCAGGCCGTGGTCGTTCACATGGACCTCACAAGTTTTACATCCCTGTTGTGCCCAGGAGACACAGCTTCGATGAAAGAATATTCGCCGCACCGGTTAGTGAAACATTTCATTTCCGTTTGTAAAAATGCCAGTCTTGGAGTGTTTCCTTAACGTGTAAACTGATTCAGTCGATGGAAGAAGAGCGGCACTAAATATTCCATATTAAACTGCTTTAATTGCGAGCGTTGTCACTCACAATTGTAGAGCGATAGATTTGAGAAAGATCTACTCGGAAATTTCCCTCTTATAAACAATGACCGTTACATTATTTTTGTCCAGTTTCAAACAAGTGAAACAAATTGATGTGTTGTTATTTGTGTGCATTGCTTCACTGTTTTGATAAAGTTACTCAAAGTTGTGTCCTTTTCGTGTGAAGTGATGGTTTAATCAGGTTTGCAGAAGACAGATAAGTCAAAGAATGCTGGCTCATTTGGGTGGAAAAGATTTTAGCACAAGTTAATCGGACGTTTAGAGCGAGTTGAGTAATTCAGGCAGAATTCGAGAAATCTGAACGAACCTTTTCGACCAAAACAACACAATCTATTGTGTCTATTATTTTGTCTTTTCGTTGAAATGGCATCACATATCATTCTCTTCCTTATTTTATCGCTTCAGGCGTGTCTGAGGTGTGTACCTAAATATACAGCTAGTTAAATATACAAGTTCCTTCTCGTTAATATTTTGGTTCGCTGAGTGCATCTGCCAACTTTCTAACTTGATTGTCAACTATCACCAAGAATCTTCTACTTAATCAAGCTGTAGTTAATTCTGTTTTATAAGAAAGAACCGAAATATTCAAGATTTTACGAGTTTGAACGTTTAGATCAAAAGATTGTTGATGGGGTAGAAAACAATTGTTGAAACCTTAGACAACGCCTCCCAGTGAAAACGAAAGGGAATTTTGACTCAGGAATATTTAACTTCTAAAAGAACATAGGGTAACAGCTTTGTGTTACAATGCGTTACGTTTGAGAAACCAACAGTTCTGCCCAATAATTTTTTTTACTTTAAGTTCACATGATGAATTTTTGTCTTCGAGATAAAATCTTTGTAAGCCTCATCAAACTCGTTAATTAGAGTACAAGAGTGTAAATTGTGGAATTATTTTAATTGGATTTTTATCATTCTTCAGTTGTGTAGCGACATGGATTTCGCTAAGTAAACTGTATGTGATCTCGGACAGCCACACATACTTATATTACTTGACCTAACTTGAATTATTTTTTTGACAAACCAGTAGAAAAACTCTAGCCGTCTCTTAGTTGATATTTTGGTCACGCTCGGATGCTTGTTTTCTGATGTTGTTGCTTGCTGACAATTAAACAATGTGAAAGAGTTATTGCAATTCAAGTCACGACAACTTTGAAGACTTTTTTGTTTATTCTTCTTACAGAGTGCCAAAGGCAATTCTGGTGAAAGGTGAGTGTTGTGTGTGCACTTATTTGTACATCTATAGTATTTTTTATGTTATTTTGATTATTTTCATTTTACTCAGGTAAAGCAATGATCCTCGCACGTGAGTAGAAATAATCCATTTTACAGTTGTGTGCTTGGTTGCCAAGCCTTTTAACAAGAGTGAGGCTAAGGTTGACCTTCTTATGATACAAACCTTGCTGCTTTTCAAATGCAAAGGACTTTGTTATCATGCCAACTAGAGTCTGGTCTCTATCACAACAAGGTCACCTTCAGCCTCACTCCAAATCAAAGGCTTGGCAACTAAGTACACAACTGTTAAATGGCCTATTGAAACAATTGTTAGAAAGAAGCCAGAAGATAAATTAAAAATTCAGACTTTGACGGGATTCGAATCCAGGCCTCCCAGGTACTAGTTGGGCGCTACTTTCAACTGAGTTACGAAGGCACACTCTTTCATGCAGGGTCCTCTTTCCCGTGAGGATTTAAATAAACTGTTTTTATCCTTAAGTCAGTAAGGCGTGGCCTAGCTAATTGTTAATGCTTAGTTCGGTCAAAAAGTTATTTTCTGTATAGGATCTTTGCTCTGTCTGGCACTGCTTTTAACTCGACATTAACTGGTTCTTTTGTGCAAAGTTCGATCAAAAATTTTTGCAATAGTTTTCTCCTCCAACATTTTTAAAATATTACTTCTTTAACATAGTCCATCACGGACTTCGGCTGTCGTAATATTAAACTTAGGGAAGGAATTTTTTGTCTAATTGCTTTTGCTTTTTTGATATAAATTTCAGTCTGCTGACGAGAGAGAGTATAGGAAAGGAAGCAGAACTTGAGATGAAACTTGCAATCGTGTCAAACGCCTTGATGAAGGTACAGTATTCTCCTTTGCAAAGACTATCATTAATTTTTGCTTTAGCCCCCATCCTCCCCCCCCTTCTTTTTTTTGGAGGACGGCATATTATTTTGTGTTAACATAAGGTACGAATGAAGATTTAGAGACAAATAATAAAAAAAAAATAAGAAAAGATTAAAAAATCTACAACCTCATAAGAAACCTGTCACAAACTTTTCGACAGAAATTATCCCATGGATAATGTTAATAATAACATTTCCGTGCCTCTACATCTTTAAATTTTCTGGTGGAGGATGGCCCCCTTCTCTCCTTCAGGAGAAAATATGCCCCCCCACCCCCTCCTTGTTAAAAGGAGTCCAGAGACAAACCAGAACAGCTGACAATAACATGTTCGTGCGTGTGAGTCTTATTTACAAGTATTCGTGTCCTTTTTCACAGGAAGGAGAAGAGAGACACCGAATGGATGTTGAATTAAGAAGACTTCAGAGAGAAAACAAAAGACTTCAAGATGATCTCCGGACCGCCTCGCACCAACTTCGGAAATTTTCCGAGTGGTTTTTCACGTCAGTTGAACCAAGTAACACGTGATACAGACACCATGAATTGTTCGTTGGATAAGTTTCTATTTTAAAACGTTTCTTACATCGTTCATAGAGTTAAGCCTTTTAAAGTATTATTGAACAAGTAACGTTTATTAAGAGAAAGGTGCTATTCTTTACATATCTAAGATTGAACTGGTAAAATAGCTTGAAAGATGTTGTATTTTCATAGCGTTTGATATATTAAGGCAAGTAGTATATGTAACAAATTGTCAAATATTTTCATTGGTTGGTTTTCGACCCAGGTGTCCAATTTTAAACGACCGCCGTCTGCATCATCAAAGAGACCTGTCATGCTTTATTGCCTTGCTGGAAGAGAATGAGTCGCGGATTTTGGTTTAGTCATAAAATTTACCATATATGGCTATGGTTTTGTAGTCCTCCCTTTATACTCCCCTCCTCCTCCCCCCTTCCCCCCTTCCCCGCCTAAAAAAAAAAAAAAAAAAAAAAAAAAAAGAAAGAAAAAAATCCTTCGACCTTCCGTTCAAGGCGATAAAAAATGACTGGTCCTTAATAGCAATGCTTTCTTCGCTCTTTATTTATGGATCTTTATCCTTCACGATAGTCTTTTTCTGTTGGTTAATATAATCCTATGTATGATTTATACTACAGATACCTTTTTTGACCTCTGGTTGAATTGCACCATTTTTTCTTTTGTCGCTATGTTAAATAATTATAGTTATACTGAATGGTTTGACGTGGGTACGTAAAACCTGGGTGAGAGTATTCCAAGACAGGATTATTGTTGGTGAAAGTGAACGTTTGGACATCGTGAACTTAAGAGTTGTTTGCCAGTCTGGCTCATGAAATGTGATTAGTCAGTCCTTTTTTTTTTTGTTCGCTAGTTATGGTGATGTTGTGATTGAGTTCTTTGTCTGATAACGAGAAATCTATTGATAGTCACTTTCACCAAAAGCGGTCCTTAGCAGGTTTACATTTATCCTGACTATCAAATCACGTCTTGAATTGACAGCGGTTGTGGCAGGTTTTAAGTTTCGAAGTCTACGAGGGAAATAAACCTCAGCACATGTAAGTAAGGAATGAAGGTTCTTTTGCCTTGCTGAAATGTTTGGAGCAACTGTTTGTTTATTATTTCGTTTACACTTGAGTTGAAAACTTCTTTTCTCCTTACAGTACACCATCGATTACTTGTGATGAAGCCTTGGGGGAATTTTTATCGACACTTCTTTAAGGTTTTCGAGCACGGTATCCTAGGAAAGTATAAATATTTTCAGGAAAGATGGTTTCCTTTTGGACTTGTTAGGGGAATTTAATACGTTAGTAAAGTAAATTGAACATAAGTTTAGGTCGCGTGCATTTTTAAATTTTTGTCGGGAAGTAATTCGAAAATGATCTAGAGGGATAGAAACATTTAGCCATTAACAGATTTATTCGGTGGAAAAGCCATTCATTGATCAAATAATACTTTTATCGTCAGCTGATGGCGTCACTGTCCGGATAATTTCATAGTTTTTCTCGGGCCTTTGAACTTGATCGATTTTTCCCAAAATGACTTCTATACTTGTTACCTTAACCGATACAGCATTATAATATATATACATTTGGTCTTTATTTTTACCATTTATATATCGTTTGTTAAATACAACAAGTATCCTATTTATAACTTTGGATTTCAAATATTTTATACTTCCATTTTCCTTTTCACTTATGCGATTTTCAGCTTATTTTGTAACAAAAGTTATGAATCGTTACATTTTGGAATACGGGGTCTTACAATTTTCATTGTTTCAATTGTTCGTCAGTAGTTTGTGGATAGCTCGTCCAGTTATACTGAAGGTATTTGTGGCTTTCATCCCATAAAATCGTAAGAATGATTCACGTGTAAGTTCGTAGAGCAATTTTTAATTCAGTGTCGAAAATTATCTGAGGTTGGATTGGTTTTGCTTTACTTCGCTCTGTGATTGCGTCAGAAAACTTGCAAAAACTGAAACCAGTCACGAGTTGGTCATCGGCATTTTCCCGCGCTTTAAGCCGTTTGGGTGGGTTTTCATTTTGATTTTTCATTGGCTCTTAAAGGTATTTTCCTCTCTTCTATTTAGTTAACAGATAACGAGAGTAGAACAACATAACAGCAAAATCTCCCAACTAACTTACAACGAAACGATCACAGCTGGAAAGGAGATTTTAAGTTTGGTCTAGCGCTTGTTTTCCCGGGAAAACTCTTTTTATCTTAGCTTCAGAGTCAATGTCTGTTGTGCTTAAACAATATGTGTAACTTTATCTTTCATCCGCGCTGCCAATTTAAGGTAACTTTGTATCAAGACATCTTTCTCTCTTGCTTTCATTTGCTGAAAAACCGAGCGGGAGAATCTGTCGGATACCAAAATCTTTTTAATAATCCTTGAGAGTTTTGTGGTCGTGATGATGAATTGAATTGAATTGAATTAAGGAAGCATTAGGCTTCAATAATCATGCATGATAGAGGAATGAAAATAAAGCTTGACAATCTCTAAGGAAGATACGCAGATTTGCAGCCGCCAAAGAGGGGCTCATTTTGTAAAATTTCTATGCATAAGGCCGTCTTGTACACAGTTTCTGGAAAAAAAATAAAGAGACGTAAGAAAATATTTTGTTCTAATGTCCTTTATTCTCAATTTTCTGAGAGATAAAAACTTCAATATAGTAACTATAGAAATTTGTTAGTAAGCTTTTGGAAACTTAAAGGGGACCAGTAGTTAAACATAATTATTAAATTCAACCAAAGTATTTTATAGTTTGAATATTCAGAGGGTAATTTCTCAGTCTAAAATTGCGACACTTGCACATATTACAGACCTAATCACGCCCTTTCTAACGCGCTATTGTTAAATTGTCTAAGAATTCTCCCTTTTCACCGAGAAATTAACGCAGAAATACTATAACAATAAAAAACCGTCGATGAGCTTTTGGCATCTTGTAAGAACCATTAGCTTAAAACACAAAAGATTTCGAAGAGCATTTTCTAGGCCCAAAAAAGAGCTGAAACTTTGAAATTTGCATACAACACACAGCTTATCACACTCTTTACAACGCATTATAAATTGTTCCAGATTTCTTCCTTTTCACAAAGATATAAACGCATGAATATTCAAAGAATAGAAATTGGTGAATGAGCTTTTGACATCTTGTAGGAACAACTTGCTAAAACTAGCCTTTAAAACTCGTGAACAAAATTCTATTGTTCCAATATTCAGAGGTGATTTTTCTTGGCCCACAAAAGTGCTGAAACTTTGACACTTGCGCACCATACGCAGCTTACCACGCTCTTTCTAACAAGCTAAGAAGTGTTCCAGAACTCCCCCTTCTCACTAAGAAATAAACATATAAATATTGAAACAATAGAATATCGTTAATGAGCTTTTGGCAATTTGTAAGAACCTCTAGCTTAAACTAGCGTTTCAAACTCATTAACAAAATTCTATTGTTTCAATATTCAGAGGGGATTTTCTTGGCCCACAAAAGAGCTGAAACTTTAACACTCACACACAATACACAGGTTACCACGCTCTTTCTAACGCACCATAAATTGTTTCAGAAGTCCCCCTTTTCACAAAGATATAACCGCATGAATATCAACACAATAGAAATTGGTTAATGAGCCTTTGGCATCTTGTAAGAACCACTAGCTAAAACTAGCGTTTCAAACTCATTAACAAAACTCATTGTTTCAATATTCAGAGGGGACACAGAAGACTGAAACTTTAACACTCACTCACAATACACAGTTTACCGCGCTCTTTCTAACGAACCATGAATTGTTCCAAAATTCCCCCTTTTCACAAAGATAGAAACTCATGAATATCAACACAATAGAAATTGGAAACTCATTAACAAAACTCTATTGTTTCAATATTCAGAGGGGATTTTCTTGGCCCACAAAAGATCTGAAACTTTGACATTTGCGCACAATACACAGCTTACCACGCTCTTTCTAACGCACCATAAATTATTTCAAAATTCCCCCATTTCACAAAGATATAAACGCATGAATATTGAGACAATAGAAATTGGTTAATGAGCCTTTGGCATCTTGTCAGAACCACTAGCTAAAACTAGCGTTTCAAACTCATTAACAAAACTCTATTGTTTCAATATTCAGAGGGGATTTTCTTGGCCCACAAAAGAGCTGAAACTTTGACATTTGCGCACAATACACAGCTTACCACGCTCTTTCTAACGCACCATAAATTGTTTCAGAAGTCCCCCTTTTCACAAAGATATAACCGCATGAATATCAACACAATAGAAATTGGTTAATGAGCCTTTGGCATCTTGTAAGAACCACTAGCTAAAACTAGCGTTTCAAACTCATTAACAAAACTCTATTGTTTCAATATTCAGAGGGGATTTTCTTGGCCCACAAAAGAGCTGAGACTTTGACATTTGCCCACAATACACAGTTTACCACGCTCTTTCTAACGCACTATAAACTATTTCAGAATTCCCCCATTTCACAAAGATATAAACGCATGAATATTGAGACAATAGAAATTGGTTAATGAGCCTTTGGCATCTTGTAAGAACCACTAGCTAAAACTAGCGTTTCAAACTCATTAACAAAACTCTATTGTTTCAATATTCAGAGGGGATTTTCTTGGCCCACAGAAGACCTGAAACTTTAATACTCACTCACAATACACAGTTTACCACGCTCTTTCTAACGAACCATGAATTGTTCCAAAATTCCCCCTTTTCACAAAGATAGAAATTCATGAATATCAACACAATAGAAATTGGTTAATGAGCCTTTGGCATCTTGTAAAAAACCACTAGCTAAAACTAGCGTTTCAAACTCATTAACAAAACTCTATTGTTTCAATATTCAGAGGGGATTTTCTTGGCCCACAAAAGATCTGAAACTTTGACATTTGCGCACAATACACAGCTTACCACGCTCTTTCTAACGCACCATAAATTATTTCAAAATTCCCCCATTTCACAAAGATATAAACGCATGAATATTGAGACAATAGAAATTGGTTAATGAGCCTTTGGCATCTTGTAAAAACCACTAGCTAAAACTAGCGTTTCAAACTCATTAACAAAACTCTATTGTTTCAATATTCAGAGGGGATTTTCTTGGCCCACAAAAGATCTGAAACTTTGACATTTGCGCACAATACACAGCTTACCACGCTCTTTCTAACGCACCATAAACTATTTCAGAATTCCCCCATTTCACAAAGATATAAATGCATGAATATTGTAACAATAGAATATCGTTAATGAGCCTTTGGCATCTTGTAAAAACCACTAGCTAAAACTAGCGTTTCAAACTCATTAACAAAACTGTATTGTTTCAATATTCAGAGGAGATTTTCTTCGCCCACAAAAGAGCTGAGACTTTGACATTTGCGCACAATACACAGCTTACCACGCTCTTTCTAACACACCATAAATTGTTTCAGAATTCTCCCTTTTCACAAAGATATAAACGCATGAATATCAACACAATAGAAATTGGTTAATGAGCCTTTGGCATCTTGTAAGAACCACTAGCTAAAACTAGCGTTTCAAACTCATTAACAAAACTCTATTGTTTCAATATTCAGAGGGGATTTTCTTGGCCCACAAAAGAGCTGAGACTTTGACATTTGCGCACAATACACAGCTTACCACGCTCTTTCTAACGCACTATAAACTATTTCAGAATTCCCCCATTTCACAAAGATATAAACGCATGAATATTGAGACAATAGAAATTGGTTAATGAGCCTTTGGCATCTTGTAAGAACCACTAGCTAAAACTAGCGTTTCAAACTCATTAACAAAACTATATTGTTTCAATATTCAGAGGGGATTTTCTTGGCCCACAGAAGAGCTGAAACTTTAACACTCACTCACAATACACAGTTTACCACGCTCTTTCTAACGAACCATGAATTGTTCCAAAATTCCCCCTTTTCACAAAGATAGAAATTCATGAATATCAACACAATAGAAATTGGTTAATGAGCCTTTGGCATCTTGTAAAAAACCACTAGCTAAAACTAGCGTTTCAAACTCATTAACAAAACTCTATTGTTTCAATATTCAGAGGAGATTTTCTTGGCCCACAAAAGAGCTGAGACTTTGACATTTGCCCACAATACACAGTTTACCACGCTCTTTCTAACGCACTATAAACTATTTCAGAATTCCCCCATTTCACAAAGATATAAACGCATGAATATTGAGACAATAGAAATTGGTTAATGAGCCTTTGGCATCTTGTAAGAACCACTAGCTAAAACTAGCGTTTCAAACTCATTAACAAAACTCTATTGTTTCAATATTCAGAGGGGATTTTCTTGGCCCACAGAAGAGCTGAAACTTTAACACTCACTCACAATACACAGTTTACCACGCTCTTTCTAACGAACCATGAATTGTTCCAAAATTCCCCCTTTTCACAAAGATAGAAACTCATGAATATCAACACAATAGAAATTGGTTAATGAGCCTTTGGCATCTTGTAAAAAACCACTAGCTAAAACTAGCGTTTCAAACTCATTAACAAAACTCTATTGTTTCAATATTCAGAGGGGATTTTCTTGGCCCACAAAAGATCTGAAACTTTGACATTTGCGCACAATACACAGCTTACCACGCTCTTTCTAACGCACCATAAACTATTTCAGAATTCCCCCATTTCACAAAGATATAAATGCATGAATATTGTAACAATAGAATATCGTTAATGAGCCTTTGGCATCTTGTAAAAACCACTAGCTAAAACTAGCGTTTCAAACTCATTAACAAAACTGTATTGTTTCAATATTCAGAGGAGATTTTCTTCGCCCACAAAAGAGCTGAGACTTTGACATTTGCGCACAATACACAGCTTACCACGCTCTTTCTAACACACCATAAATTGTTTCAGAATTCTCCCTTTTCACAAAGATATAACCGCATGAATATCAACACAATAGAAATTGGTTAATGAGCCTTTGGCATCTTGTAAGAACCACTGGCTAAAACTAGCGTTTCAAACTCATTAACAAAACTCTATTGTTTCAATATTCAGAGGGGATTTTCTTGGCCCACAAAAGAGCTGAAACTTTGACATTTGTGCACAGTACACAGCTTACCAGGCTCCTTCGAACAAGCTAAAATGTGATTCAGAATTCCCCTTTTCACAAAGATATAAGCGCATGAATATTGTAACAATAGAATTTTGTTAATGAGCTTTACGGCATCTTGTTAGAACCTCTAGCTAAAACTAGTGTTTCAAACTTATTAACAAAATTCTATTGTTTCAATATTCAGAGAGGAATTTTCTAAACCCACAAGAGAGCTGAAACTTTGACACTTGCGCACAATACACAGCTTACCACTCTCTTTCTAACGCACCATAAATTGTTCCAGAATTCCCCCTTTTCACAAAGATAGAAACGCATGATATTGGTTAATGAGCCTTTGGCATCTTGTAGGAACCATTAACTAAAACTAGCGTTTCAAACTCATTAATAAAACTCTATTGTTTCAATATTCAGAGGGGATTTTCTTAGCCCACAAAAGAGCTGAGACTGACATTTGCGCACAATACACAGCTTACCACGCTCTTACTAACAAGCTAAAGAGTGGTCTAGAATTCACACTTTTCACA